TTTTACCCGTGGTTTATTCGCTATGAACAGACCATGCTCATAAGTCAAGGTATGTTGCCAGTTTATAATGCAAACCTGGGTTTATTTCAGGGGTAATCTTTCATAATATTTTGCCTGTATGAGGCCAAAATTTGGCACCCCCAAATGGATCGCCTCAATCATGGATCTTCTCAATTTTGCGTCCCCATGTGCTGAGACACCCACACCACCTTAAATCTGTCACTGCTCATGCGAACCATGATTTAGCATTATGTGTGAACTCAGCCAGTGTCATGTTTTTTGGCATAACTCAATTGTTGAGCTGGCTTCAAAATCTCTTAATTTCTGTCACTTTCCTCGCCACCCCTGCTTTTTTTTATTTCAATAACCAGCTTTCGTTTTCTCATGGGCACTTTCATAAATCAGTGTCAACATAAAATAATTGACTAGGAACAACATAGGTCAACCCCAGCTACTGTGGGAAAAACAGTGAATTCACATTTTTAATGTTCACTATATGTCAAAGCAGATTATTTTCATAGCCCAGCTTTCTCATGAGAGCCATTGGTACTCTTCTCAGTGGTCAATACCGAGGGGACACATTTTTTCTCAAGATGGAACTGTGCCAGATCTCTGTCTCCTCTGTTGGGAACGGAGCAGAGAGGTGTCTTTAGGCTGCAGATTCTCAGACTTTGTCAAAGTGTGTATGAGGTAAGTGATTCTCATGCCAACCCCCTACTCACTCGGATTGCCACGTCTGCACTCCCAAAGCCTAAGAAGCGTTGGGAAGACATAGCCATAGTGTGGAGCTCAGTGCCTGTGCCAGACTATTTTGCACCCCAGGCAAGGCTAAAATGGATGTAGAAAAAATGAAAAGCACAAAACCTGAAACTGCTAAATTTATTTAAATTGCAATAATAAGTAATACAATAATCTTTATCTTTCTCAAATACAAAGGAAAATCACAAAGAACTCATAACCCACTTACTTTAAGCAGCCAGAAACACCATAACTAAGACCTGTCAGGAGTAAGCATGGACCAATGGTACCAAATAGTATGGGAAACAGCCCTACTAGAAAAATTAACCAATAAACTGAAACTGACACGGGGACAAACAGAAGAAGACGGTATGGCTCCCCTTTATCACGTACACAGCCCAACAAGACAATGACAATAATCCACCAACAGCATACAAATCAATATGGCTAACCTGATCCAAAACACCCACCCACCCCACTTACACAAGAAAACAAAAATCAACACAGCCAACCACAAACAAACAACCACACCCTAGGCCAACCCCAACCTCTCTCACCACCAAAGAAACACAAATGAACAGCAGAGAACCTGCACAAGCAATGCTGACACCAAACCCTACATACATTAAGCAAAATAGAAACATTGCCACCTGATCTTCCCCCTCCCCCCCCCATGTCTCAACAAATGAAACTGATTTGTAAAAATGTTACATGGAAAAAAATGCAAGAGACATTACACATACTTCTGTAAAACAAGAAAATCTTTAATAAAAAGAAAGAAAGAAATACAAAGGAAAATGCTTCAGCACACAAATAATTTTGAATAATCTTGTGAATGGTGATGTTGAAATTTAAATCTCTTTAAAGTTTCAGGTCAAGTGCTGACACTTGGGCATGTTCAACTGATCCTCTACATGGCCGCTGGTTCCTCCAATGCCGGGAGAGGAGAAGTGGGCCATGCTGGGGGTGTCCGCTTCTTGCCCCCTCAAAAATCCATGCCCAGGGCCACGGTCCCTCTGGCACCCCACACACTACACCCTGCTGGCACCCACAAACTCCTGATGCCCAGGCAACACCCAGTTGTGTAACCCAATATGTGGTAAGTTTAAGTATGTTGCACATACCCAAGACAGTCAATGCTGCCATTTGCTGAGGAGTTCGGAGGAAGCAATAAAAACCTGTTTTCCAAGCTCGGTGGTGTCATTTGAGTCAGTGCCCAGACCAGGAGCAGGATGAAAGACAAATACACTGAAGAAAAGTATCTCTGAGAATGTACAAAGTACCTTTCCCTAAGCACAAGCAAATCCTGCACAACTGAAATTATAAGGCAGGATATGTGTTTGATGATAAGGAAATGCTACTTTAGTTCAGCAACTTTTCTTTCTTGACATATAATGTAGTTATGCATACTTGTTTTTAAAATCTGCAGCTTTTATCTGCATATTATGGATAATTATGGGCTCCCACACACTTCCCCTTGTGCTGTGCTTAGAAAGCAAGGGCCCAAGAAGTTTTCTGCTTGACCTGTGCTTAATAATAATAATAATAATAATAATAATAATAATAATGTTACGGAAAAATCTAGGTGTGAGGCTGCTCAGTCACCCATCTCATCCTGCTGAGCCCGTGGGTCCCTGCGGAGTAAAGGAAGGATTCCAGCCACCAACCAGAGCAAATAGCTGTAGACCAAAGTTTATTGCGCAATAGGTTCAAAGAGGAATTTTGAACCCCGAGGATGGGGTGACAAAGACTTTTAAAACTTTCCCACCATATCCCAGAATACAATTCGTACAGCATCATTGCTACGTCATTGCTACATCACTGACATGTCACAAAAGGGGAGGGGTTAACCTTGGCAAACATGTCCAGACAAGTCCTTGGTACAAGATTAGCATAAGCAAACATGTCAGGGCAAGACTCAGGTATAAGATTAGCATAGACAATATGTCTTAAGTACCCACCACCCAAAAGTACAATAGAAGTTCCTTTGCATGTCTGGAGCCTGAGGCAAGTCAGGTGATGAGATTTGGCTTCCCTTGGCTATCAATGAGCCCAGCAATTGTCACCTCTGGGAACTTCCTGGAGTCCTAACTGGCAAAGGAGATGATTTTATATTATTTTTAAAGCTAGGTAACTTCCCTGAGCTGTCAAGTTGAAAGGATACATTCAGGCATAATATTTGTAACATTTAACTTTAAAGATGTGCCCCCCCGTAATTTCAATAATAATAATAATAATAATAATAATAATAATGGCTTATTATTTGTACCCCAGGGACGCGGGTGGCGCTGTGGGTAAAAGCCTCAGCACCTAGGGCTTGCCGATCGAAAGGTCGGCGGTTCGAATCCCCGCGGCGGGGTGCGCTCCCGCTGCTCGGTCCCAGCGCCTGCCAACCTAGCAGTTCGAAAGCACTCCCGGGTGCAAGTAGATAAATAGGGACCGCTTACTAGCGGGAAGGTAAACGGCGTTTCCGTGTGTGGCTCTGGCTCGCCAGAGCAGCGATGTCACGCTAGCCACGTGACCCGGAAGTGTCTCCGGACAGCGCTGGCCCCCGGCCTCTTGAGTGAGATGGGCGCACAACCCTAGAGTCTGTCAAGACTGGCCCGTATGGGCAGGGGTACCTTTACCTTTACCTTTATTTGTACCCCACCCATCTGATTGGGTTGCCCCAGTCCACGCAGTCTTCCCCACTCCTCTCCCAGAAAATAAACACTCTTTAGCAATAAAACAAGTATCAATCCAACACTCTTTATCACAGAATCAGAGCAAAGAGCAACCTGCAGAAAACCCAATTTGCCATTTGTTCTGATTCAGCGTTAAAGAGTGCATTAGCCTTTTTTGCAACTGCATCATGCTGCTGCCTCATGTCCAGCCTGTGATCAACTACAATCCCCAAGTCCCCTTTCATATGTACCACTGTCAAGCACTGGGTCATTTTTGCCAAGATGCAACACTTTGCATCTGTTGAATTTCCTTTCCTTTGTTTCAGCTGTAATCAAAATCAATCTGAATTTTATTCCAGTCTTCTGAAGTGCTAGCTACCCCTCTCAGTTTGTGCCATCCACAAATTCAGAATGATTCCCATCAGGCTTTCATCTAAAATTGATGACGAAATGTATAGAGGTGTTGACTGATTCCAGGACACAAACCTCAGTGCCCAATTACCAAATAGGCAGAGTAGACACGTTTTAGGCGACAATGGATCAAAATAAAATGGATTTGATCTTGAAAGAAAATTACAACCAAGCTTTCTTAGTTCAATATTATCCCACTATAGCCATGGGGCCTCCACAAGGTTTAACCCAGCACTGGCAACCCTTCTGGATCCTCAAATCTGCTGAGAAGCCACCAACAAACCATTTCTGAGTAGTTTTTTTGACTCACTCACTGTGAATCCATCTGATGTAACCAGCTTTATCTGATAGGAACAGGGATCCCGTGACTCTCCAGACATTGTTAGGCAACAAGTCCCTTATCATTTTGTTATGCTGGTTGAAGCTGATGGAACATGGATACATATGTGGGGGGGGAGGGGGCACAGTAGACGCTTCTCACTCTGTTATTAATCTAGCTCTTATCTGATGTTGGTTTTTGTCTTTAATTTTGTAGCTTGAAGGCGACCCCTTGATTTTGTTTGTTTTTTAATTGAATATGTAAACTGGCCTTCAGTCCATTCTTTAGCAGAAATGAGGGGATTAAAAGTAACAACTTTAAATTACAAAAACTAGATACAGTTAAAACGATACAGATACAGTTAAACTGTATCTAGTTTTGAAATTGTTTGGTGGGTCTTTGGACCGCAATAAAGTTTTGATTTGATACAGGGCGGTATTGAAAAGGACAACCACCACCACTTACGATTGCTAAGCAGTTAAGAGGAGAGATCTGGGTTCCAATTCACACTCTGGTCTGGTTCACCTTGAGCCAGTCCCTCTAGAATCATAGAATTGTCGAGTCGGAGGGGGCCCCGAGGGTCATCCAGTCCAGCCCCCTGCAATGCTGGAATCTCAGCTCAAGCACCCACGACAGTTGAGCCTCCAGCCTCTGTTCAGAACCTCCAAGGAAGGAGAGTCTCCCTTCCAAGCCCCGCTGCCTTTCGCTGGGCCTCCCCCCGCCCGCCCCCCGACCCGGACTCCGGGCAAGTTCGAGGCGCGCCTGGCCGCCAAGCCGAGCCTCCCCCCGGCCGCTGGGCGCCGCTGCCGAAGGGGGCGTCTCCGGCGGGGAGGCGAGGGAGGCGGAGCCGGGGCGGCAGCGGCAGGCAGGCAGGCGGCCTCGGACGGGCACCGGCGCAGCGCGCCCTCTCGCTCGCTCGCTCGGCTGGCTGGGCGATGGCGGTGACGCGGAAGCTGGGCATCCGCCTGGCCTACTCGGCGGCCGGGAGCGTGTCGGGGCTGTCGGTCTTCCTGGCGTGGAACCTGGCGCCCAGCCTGCGGCAGCCTTACACCGCCGCCGCCGGAGGGCTCTCCGGTAAGACCCGCGCGCGGCCGCGCAGCCTCGGGCCCCCTCGATGGCGCCCCCCCGGCCCGCAGGGAAGGCTCCGCTCCGGGGAGCCCCTCTCTCCCGCGCCCTCCCCTGCTCGCCGGGGCTGCGTCGCGAGTCCGCGGCGAGTTTGCAGCACGCAGCCTGTTGGTTCGCTTTTGTGCGGCGGGGCCACAACTGGAAGGGGGCCTGGGGGACTCTCGGCCACCTAAACTTTCTGAGCAGCCAGAGGAGGGTTATTTGCAAACTGGCCTCGCGGGACAATCCACATTGGATTTATTTTCCCCTCGCTGCCCCAACCGGAGAGCCTTAAAAACAACAACCTAGTGTCCCTACAGTTCTTTCCCCTACAGTTCTTTCCCCGGGTGCTAAAGGTCACTTGAATTCTTTTAAGTGCTTTTTCTAGTTGTAATACTTACCAGTTGCCCTTGTTGTGAGTATAAATGTGACTAGTTGTAGCTAATCTGTGGTTTTTTAAATTGTTGTTAGAATCATAGAATCATAGAATCATAGAATCATAGGGTTGGAAGAGACCACAAGGGCCATCGAGTCCAACCCCCTGCCAAGCAGGAAACACCATCAGAGCACTCCTGACATATGGTTGTCAAGCCTCTGCTTAAAGACCTCCAAAGTAGGAGACTCCACCACACTCCTGGGCAGCAAATTGTTGTTGTTGTTGTTATCATCTGAAGAAGGGACTCGGATGCTATTTCTATGGAGAGGCGGTTCTTGGGATATTGCAGTCCTTAGTTACATTTATCCACCTTACCCCCCACCCCAACAGCCCAGAGTGACATTTTAATTCTTTGCAACCCTGGGACGTAGGCTAAGACAGTGTTTCCCAACCGGTGTTCCGCGGCACACTAGTGTGCCGTGAGACCTTGCCTGGTGTGCCGTGGGAGGGAGGCGGGAGAGGCGGGGCGGCGGCGGCATCTCCTGCTGGATGCAAATCCAAACATGGCGGGCGCCTCCCTCGCTCCTTTGTAGGCGGACCATCGAGAGAGAAAGAAAAGGAGGCGAAAGAGCGAGAGAAGGCGCCTGCGCGGAAAGAGGAGCGAGCAGTGCGCCTGCGCGCCGCGGTGCCCGAGATCGCTTCTCCCCACCGCCCCTTGCTTCAAAAGAGGTCCGGGGACAGCGGGAAGCGCTTCGCGCTGCCCCCGGACCTCTTTGGAAGCAAGGGTTTGCGGGGAGAAGCGATCTCCCCGCAGCCCCTTGCTTCAAAAGAGGTCCGGGGGCAGCGGGAAGCGCAGCGCTTCTTCCCCGCTGCCCCCGGACCTCTTTTGAAGCAAGGGGCTGCGGGGAGATCGCTTCTCCCGGTGCTCCGAAGCGGGGCGGGGGGCGGGAACACCTGCCCCAGCCGCCCCGCTTCTCCCGGTGCTCCGAAGCGGGGCGGGGGGGCGGGAACACCTGCCCCAGCCGCCCCACTTCGGAGCGCTGCTCCGAAGCGGGGCGGTGGGGCGGGAACCTCGCACCCCGCCGCCGGGCATCGGAACGATGCCCCGATGCCGGGCGGTGGGGCGGGAACCTCGCACCCCGCCGCCAGGCATCGGAACGATGCCCCGATGCCGGGCGGTGGGGCGGGAACCTCGCACCCCGCCGCCAGGCATCGGAACGAGGTCCTGGACCTCTTCTGAAGGCAGGCGGGGGCAAAAGTCTTTGCTCCCCCCGCCTGCCTTCCCGGGACAGCGGAGACTTCTCCGCTGCCCCGGGCGATCTTAAAATGCTGGCGGGCGGGAGCGAAGTGTTCGCTGCCGACCCCCAGCATTTTAAAATCTCCTCGGGGCAGCGGAGACTTCGCTCCTGCCCGCCAGCATTTTAAAATCGCCCCGGGACAGCAGGGGCTTTTAAAATGCTTGCGGTCAGCAGCAAAGCCCTCCTGTCCCCGGAGCTTGCGGGGCGGGAGGTGGGAAGAAGGGCTTTTCTTCCCACCGCCAGCCTTCAGAACAGCCTTCTGAAGGCTGGCAGTGGGAAGAAAAGCCCTCCCCCCCCAGCCTTCAGAAGAGGTCGGGGGACATACTGTCCCCGGACCTGGTCTGAAGGCGGTTTCCCTAGGAACGCATTAATTGATTTTCAATGCATTCCTATGGGAAACCGTGCATCGCAAGACGAAAAACTCGCAAGACGAAGAGACTTGCGGAACGAATTAATTTCGTCTTGCGAGGCACCACTGTACTTTTTATATAGTCAATATAGGCACAGAGTTAAATTTTTTAACATTTTCTAATGGTGGTGTGCCTCGAGATTTTTTTCATGAAACAAGTGTGCCTTTGCCCAAAAAAGGTTGGGAAACACTGCTCTACAGCAGTGTTTCCCAACCTTTTTTGGGGAAAGGCACACTTGATTGATGAAAAAAATCTCGAGGCACACCACCATTACAGCCCCGTGACGTCAGTGCGCAGCGTCACGCCGGGAGGGACGCACGAAAGTGTAAGTTTCAATTTTTTTCCCTCCCCCTTGCCGGGGAACCTCCAAGCTTTGGGGGTGGGGGGGGGAGGAGGCAGCAAAGCGAGGGACTGAGGGACTCCTCCAACTCCTCCTCCTGCTCGTCCAACTCCTCCAACTCCTCCTCCTGCTTGAGGCGCCGCTTGAGCTCCTTCTCCTGCTCGTTCAGGGCTGGGTCGTCGCCGTGAGGGAAGGGCGCCGGGGCGCTGCTGCTGCTGCTGCCGCCGCCGCTCCCGGCAGGCATGGGCCCAGCTGAGGCGGCGGCGGCTGTTGTGGTGGTGGCGGCGATAGCGGGCGGAGGAGGGGGCGGCGGCGGGGCCGAGGTGGCCGGCGGCGGCGGGGGAGGCGGCGGCGGGTGGAGCAGGAGGGCGGCCGAGGCCGGTGAGGGAGTAGGGTTGCCCGGGGCTTGAGGAGCCGTCGCCGGGAGTTGCTGCTGCTGTTGTTGCTGCTGCTGCCCAGACATGCCGGCCTCCTCCTCGTCCGCTGTCTCGCGCTCCTCCCTTTTGCGCGCGCTGCCCCGCCGCCGCCCCATTGGCCGGGTCCTGTCAGCTGATCCTGTGTTATTTCCTGTGTGTGTGTGTGAGGGGAGAATGGAGAGAGAAACCTCGGCACCGCCACCGCGGAGCTGCCCCCGGCTCGACGCGGATCCTCGCCGCCGCCGCCCCGCCTCTCGCCGCCCGACTCGCCCGCCTCCCTCCCACGGCACACCAGGCAAGGTCTGTGCCGCGGAACACCGGTTGGGAAACACTGCTCTACAGCTCAGTTTTGCAGTAGTTTACAGATACATTGAAGCTTGTTTTAATGAAACAGTTGCACTTTGTTTTTCCTTCTGCTCAGCAATTTTAGACTATTAAGGAGTTTAGTTGCTTTTAATCAACTAAGTAAGTGGTTGAGGGGAGAAATCCATGAGCTGTGCTCCTTCAGGCAGCCGGTGGCAGCTCACATGACTGAATGCTGATCCATAGAAAGCAAATTCCTCCCACATAGAAAAGGGTAGGAGTGAATTTTGTAAAGGAGCATCACAGCCCTTTCCTGCAGCCTGAAGAAGTGCAAGACAGTCCTATAAGAACCAAGATGACCTGATGTGATATCAAAGTGTGCTGACTTACATTATCCTACCTAACTAGGCGCTGCCCCACCCAGTTTCAGACTCTGATCAAAACTCTTATGTCAGGAGGTCTTTGCACCCTGAATGCACCTCAAATGTTTTACATTTTGTTTTAGTTTGTGAGGTTTTATATTCTTGAGGTTTTAAATGATGTATATTGTATGTGGTGTTTTTTTATTATTGTACACTGCTTTGAGACCTACGTGGTGTGAATAGCTCCATAATGGCCAGGGATTAGGAGTCCAGTCTCCTCTGGAAAGGCCACAGTTTCCTCATGCCTGCTTTATGCGATGGGAGCTCCCCTCAGATCTCAAGGAAGTGCCCCACTGAATTGGGGACTGGAGCTCTGGAACGCAGAAGCCGCTCTCCTGATTCTTGGAATGAACCTGCAGGACGATGACATTCATTCTTAAGAAGCTTTTTTTGCTATTTTTAAGTCAGGCAGGTAGTTCAGTCGATTGGATAAAGCAAGGCTTTGGATTAAGATCTTCTCCAAAGGGAGACGTTGCCAGACAAGTGGATAAAAAGTTCAATGTGAAAGACTGGAGAAGCAAACAATGGTGTGTGCTGTGCAAAAGTGGGGCACACTCCTTTCAAGCTGACCTGTTCCCTGAGCACTGCTTGTTTTGTAGCAAGATGGTTCCTGTTATTCAAGGGACTGGGTCAGGGATGAGCATCCTGTGGCCTTCCAGATGTTTTTATTAATTATTACATTTATGTAGCATCTTTGTCTTCCAAGGTGTACATGGTTCTCCTCTTCTCTACTTCATTCTCACAACAACTCTGTGAGGTGGGTTAGGCTAAGAGATGGCAACTAACCCAAGGTCACCCAGTCACCCCGACCACACGTCAGGCTGGCTGGGACGGAGGAGATTTGGAGCCCAACAGCACCTGCTTAGGTAGATGGCAGCATTCTGTAAAACCAGAAAATATTGTGTACTTGGCACCTAAATGTATAACAAGCATGTGCAACTGTAGAAAAGTTAGGCATTGTGGAATACCTGGAATGAGGCCTTGGAGAGTTGTTAGCAGTCAGTGTAGACTGAATGGGGAATCTGTAGATGCAGTTGGACTCCAATTGCCAACGGCCTCCAGTAGAAGGTTGCTTTATATGCTCATATGTAAAATTCCCTGCAAAGAAATGCTCCCTGTGTGGGTGGGAGAAGAGGCTTCCCAGATGGCACTTCAGCATTAGACTGCGTGCATCTCATCACTCCCAGGACTTACTCGTCAAACCTGATGCCACATTGGTGAAGGTTCTTTGTGAAATCTCCTTTCAGTTTTGCCTTCAGGCTCACTTCTTAGCCACCGCTGTGCCAAAGGGTGCCTTCACACAGTCAAAGCTGTTAATCCAGCTGGCTGCTTTGGTGATTTCTAACAGCCGCAGTTGCCGGCAGGAACACATGGTGAGAATTGGGGGCATTGCAGGAGCCCTGGGGCTCAAATTAGGCTATTGCTGGAGTGTTGATGCTCAAATTGGGGGTGTCTCTGACAGCTGGAGCTTCTAGAGGGGGAAATATTTATCAGGAGGCATGATCTTGAAGGTTGTTTTTGGCAGGGTGCATGAAAATGTGAAGGAGGCGAGTCTGCTTCTGTCTTGAGCAATGATCTCAAACGTTTCTTGTTCCGTTTCAGGAATGCAGGCCGAGACTTTTACCAAGAAATGAGTCCGGGTGCAAGGGTGCATGGGTGTGGGCCAAAAGGACCACTGTCTTTAGGGATAGGGGGCAGCGCTGGGTTGCAGAATGGCTCCTCCCTTGAATGTCTTCCTCCTCCTTTCCAGCCAGGCAGTTGCTGATGTCACTTATCTCATTCCAGCATGCAGAAAAGGACCAAAAGAAACACAAAAAAGTTCAGAACAACTGTATTGTGGATCTGCCCAGTTGAGCCTGCCAAGGGTTTGTTTGTCCTGGATCTGGACCAAATAGATCATGCTCAGCTGAACAGCCTTCTCACAATTGCTTGTTGTCCCCAGGGGTCAGGTAGCAGGAACACACAGAGGAGGCATTTGCACACTCCAGATGTTTTGCAGTGGAAGGGTTGCCACCACTCTGCCCCAATGGGGTGATAGGACGGCTTAGATAGCAAAGACCCTATACCCCATTCTAAACCCTGTTTATCTGAGTGTTGGAGAACCGGAAAGGTCTTTAATGCTGTTACTAGCAGTGCCTTCAACCCTGTGCCTAGTTTGTCAGGGTTAATTCAATTTTTGAGGCTGCTGTGCAGAGTTCTTGTTTTGCCCAGCATTTTCTGCCAAGTCACCCTGAAGACTTCCCTTCCAAAGATTCCTTTGCAAAGTCATGGTTTTTTTGGAAGTGCAGCGTCAGGTGTCCCCTAACACAAGGAGGCAGCCTTGGGTGGTGAATCAGTTTCTGACACGTGAGGGGGAGCCTCTGACCACACACACTTCCTGCTGAGAGAAGCAGCCTCTGGAATGAAACTGGAACGTGTCCAGAGGAGGGCAACCAAAATGATCAAAGGCCTGGAAACGATGCCTTATGAGGAACGGCTAAGGGAGCTGGGCATGTTTAGCCTGGAGAAGAGGAGGTTAAGGGGTGATATGATAGCCATGTTCAAATATATAAAGGGATGTCACATAGAGGAGGGAGAAAGGTTGTTTTCTGCTGCTCCAGAGAAGCGGACACGGAGCAATGGATCCAAACTACAAGAAAGAAGATTCCACCTAAACATTAGGAAGAACTTCCTGACAGTAAGAGCTGTTTGACAGTGGAATTTGCTGCCAAGGAGTGTGGTGGAGTCTCCTTCTTTGGAGGTCTTTAAGCAGAGGCTTGACAACCATATGTCAGGAGTGCTCTGATGGTGTTTCCTGCTTGGCAGGGGGTTGGACTCGATGGCCCTTGTGGTCTCTTCCAACTCTATGATTCTATGATTCTTCTATGATTCTATGACCCTGCATTTTTTAAAAATACATCCATATTATTTTAAATGTAGACCAGAAGCTTGTTTCTTTTTCTTTTCTTTTCTTGATTTGTCAGCAATGTTGCAAATACTATTTTTTAATGTATTTTTTTAAAAAAGATTTTCTTGATTTACAAAGGTGTGTGCAATGTCTCTCTCTCGTATTTTTTTTCCAGGTAACATTTTTTTTTTACAAATCGGTTTCATTTGTTGAGACATTAGGAAGAATAGGGGGAAAGAGGTGGAGGGGGGAAAGATGAGTGGGGTTGGGGTTGGGTGGTGATGTTTCTATTTTACTTAATATATGTGGGGTTTTGTGTCACCGTTGCTTGTGCAGGTTCTCTGCTGTTCACTTGTGTTCTTTTGGTGGTGAGAGAGGTTGGGGTTGGCCTAGGGTGTGGCTGTTCATTTGTGGTTGGCTTTGGGGGTCTTTGTGTTCAGAAGCCTGTGTTTCTGTAGCCTCTCTGTGGAAATCGGCACCTGCAATCTGGGAAGTTCCCCTTCTTCAGAGCTGGCAAAGCACTGCTGAACTTCCTGTTTCCCCACCCCTTAAAACTTGCAGGAATCCTGTCTTATTGCACATCCATGGTTCTTCCAGAACAGCCCTTGCCAACCTTGTGCTCTCCAGTTCCTTTGGACTACAGTTGCCATCACAGCCACTGGGCAGGACTGATGGGATTTGGAGTCCAGCAGCATCTCCAGGGGCACATTCCACGCTAGACTTCCCGCTAGGGGTGGGTGTAACAATTATGCCAGGGCTGGGGGATCCCTGTCTCTCCAGATGTTGCTGGACTGCAGCTGCCTTCATCTTTTGGCCAGGCCAGCAGGGGCTGATGGAGTTGGAGTCCAACGTTACCTGGAGGGCCAAAGGTTCCCCAGCCCTGGTCTGAATACACCTGGTCTGAACACCAGAGATGCAATGCCAAAATCGCATCAGTGAACATAATACAAGCCCTTCAGACAGAGTAACCTCTTTTGGCTGGCTGAACGGGTAAAAGTAGATCCCCCCACCACCTCCCTCAATTTCCCCTCTTGTGAGGATAAAAGCACCTGGTTCTAGGAACAGTGATTACCTCCATGCTGCTTCTCAAAGCTCAGGCACTTTTACATGGGTTTGTCTTTAAACCTGTGTTTGATCCCTCAGTACATCCCTGAAACAGCTGCAGATCTTGCACTCAGTCCCGCCCACCCCCCCAGTGCTGATGGCTGTCTGCAGCGCTGTTTTTCACCACAGGAGGGCATTCCTTCCACTGTGTCCTCTCCCTGATTTTATTTGAAGTGGTGAGATCTAAAAAGGTAAAGGTACCCCTGCCCGTACGGGCCAGTCTTGACAGACTCTGGGGTTGTGTGCCCATCTCACTCAAGAGGCCGGGGGCCAGCGCTGTCCGGAGACACTTCCGGGTCACGTGGCCAGCGTGACAAGCTGCATCTGGCGAGCCAGCGCAGCACATGGAACACCGTTTACCTTCCCGCTGGTAAGCGGTCCCTATTTATCTACTTGCACCCGAAGGTGCTTTCGAACTGCTAGGTTGGCAGGCGCTAGGACCGAGCAGCGGGAGCGCACCCCGCCGTGGGGATTCGAACCACCGACCTTTCGATCGGCAAGTCCTAGGCACTGAGGCTTTAACCCACAGCGCCACCCGCGTCCCTGTGGTGAGATCTAAAGGTGTGCACTAATCCAGAATATGGCAGCTAGACTGGTGACTGGGAGTGACTGCCGGCACCATATAACACCGGTCCTAAAGGATCTTCACTGGCTCCCATTATGTTTCCAAACACAATTCAGTGTTGGTGCTGACTTGTAAAGCCCTAAACAGCCTCAGCGTCTCCACCCCCATCGTTCAGCCTGGACACTGAGGTCCTCCTCTGAAGGTCTTCTGCTGGTTCCCTCACTGCAAAAAGTGAAGCTACAGGGAACCAGGCAGAGGGCCTTCTCAGTAGTGGCTCCCACCCTGTGGAACGCCCTCCCATCAGATGTCAAGGAGATGAAGAATTACACAACTTTTAGAAGACATCTGCAGGCAGCCCTGCATTGGGAAGTTTTCGTGTTTTACTATGTTTTTATATGTGCTGTAAGCTGCCCAGAGTGGCTAGGGAAATAATAAAATTATTGTTATTATTATTACTACTACCTTTTGTGGAAGAGAACCACAATAGGTGTTTGGTGGGTTTTTGAAAAATATTTTTTCCTGCTCAGACTTTTCTGTTTTGTTTAATGGCAGTGTAGTGCCCTCCAGCTGTTTCTTGACTCCAACTCCCATCATCCTCAGCACAGCCAATGGTCAAGGGCTGATGGGATTTGGAGTCCAGCAGCAGCCACAGTCTCCCCACTCCTGGCCTAAGACCTGTGTGGAGATGGATGATCTGCCCTGCAGTTCGTGTTGCTATTGCTCTTGATTTTTCTCCTTCTTTGCTCCCCCAGGGGTGCTGGCTCTCTGGACCCTGATCACACATGTGATGTACGTGCAGGATTACTGGAGGACGTGGCTGAAAGGCTTGAGGTTCTTCCTCTTTGTCGGCGTTCTCTTTGGTATCATCTCTCTGGTGGGCTTCTGCACATTCCTGGCCTTGGCCATCTCACAGCATCAGTGTAAGTTGGGGGGCATTTGCTGTTCGGCTATAGCAAGAGCTGAGTAGGTTCTGTGTGGCCCCAAAACCAAAACAAGCAAAATCAAAATTTTGCTCCCCGAAAATTCTGTATTCTGCAATCCATAATCCTCAGTGGCAGAACACTTGCTTTGCTCACAGAAGGTCCTCGGTTCAGTCCCTGGCATCTCCAGTTGAAAGGATCACCCAGCAGCAGTGGGGGTGGAATGGACCTTTTGCCTGAGGCTTTGGAGACTCGCTATTGGAAAGAGCAAGCTGCACTGAGCTCGATGGGTCAGTAGACTGGCTTGGTCTAAGGCAAATTGGCATGTGCAAAAGATAGAGGGATGAGCCACAGCTGCTGCTTTGTATGCAGAATGTCTCAGGTTCTGTGCTGGGTATCTCCAGCCAGAAGAATCTTAGGGAGCAGGGCTCCAAAATGTCTCTGTGGCTAAGAATTTACAGAAGGATGGGTCAACTTTTTATACCAAGTGGGCTGCAAGAGTATTTTGAACCCACAGGCCATACACTGCCTGGTTGTGGAGGTGGGGAGAGCAAGGCCAAAATTGGACATGCACCCCCATGCTGCCTCCCAAAGGTGGATAAATGAGGCTCTGGGCTTTGGGAAGGAGGCACGAGGCTCTGGCAGGGCCCTAGAGCCCTCCCTCCCTCATTTCCAAAGCAGGGAAAGCACTAACTGGGCTTTCGGAAGGTGGAGGGAAGGCTCTAGGACCCTGTCAGAGCCTTGTGCCTCCTTCCCAAAGCCCAGCGTCTCACCTGCCCAACTTTCGGAAGGCGGCATGCTGAAGGCCGCCAGAAAATGCGTTAAAGGCCACATGTGGCCCTCGGGCTGTGCATTGGACCAGCCTGATTTACATGGATGCTACTGTTAGGAATAGACAATACTGGGAGAGATGGACTAGCAGGAGTCCAACTGAGCATAAGAGAAGGTCATATATTCCCATTCGCATTACTTAGTGTTTCCATGTGTACTGGGGAATTTGTTAGGGAACCTGCCTTGAAGGGGGAGGCACTTCACACTGATCCATTTTAGCTTCAACCTGGAGCCAAGGGGAGCTTTGCTTTTGCTTCTGAAGCTTCAGGTGCCGGCCTTCCAAAATGCAGGGAAAGGGATCCTGCGCACCCTCCTGCTACTGCAACTCCCATCACCCCTGACTATTGTCCATGCCGGCCGGAGTCTCCAGGAGGGTCTCAGGTTCCCCATCCCTGCTGAAGTCCATCCTGCCTGGCGATTCCCATAGGAGGCATTTATTCCATTGGCTTCCTTTGGTTGTGGCAACTCATCCAGTGGAGTCTTCAGTAATGAGGAAGGGAGGCTCTGTTCTCTCTCTCTTTTGTTTAACATTATTAATGGTGCTTGTTCTTCTGTTTAGCCCTGAAAGACCCAAAGAGCTACTACCTGTCCTGTGTCTGGAGCTTCATCTCCTGGAAGTGGGCCTTTCTCCTCAGCTTGTACTCCCATCGGTACAGGAATGAGTTTGCAGACATCAGCATTCTCAGTGACTTCTAATAAAGACCCAGACTTTTACACTCCAGCAAGGAGAGGAGGCACGTGGAAGGAGGGGAGGCCCCCCTCTGGACAGACCCTGGCAGGAAGGTGCTGGCAAGGAGGACGACCCCTAGGAGGCCGAGAGCAGGAGCCTGCGTCCACCTCTGCTTTCCCTCCCTCTGCTGGCTTCCCTAGGCGCTCTCCCTTATTCCATTTCGCCTGTCGCTCTGGCTTGCTCCCTCCGTCTCGTGCGTGCGTGTGTGTGTGTTTTTAACTTTCACCAGCGTTTTGTTCCAGCTTGGAGGGATGGCTCAAGGTCCACAGCAAGACCCAAGGTTCTGGTCCAAGTCCTCCTGGGCCCAATACATTTCCCTCTTGTACTTTGGAGCGGTGGGGAACAACATGAAGGCTGAAGAAACAGGCAGAGCCACCATTGCCACCCATAGCCGTTGTCTTGTTGCCGCCTGCCGGGTGTGTGGTGAAGGCCCAAGGAGGGGAAGAAAGCAAGGGACTCCTTTCACAGAGAGATGTATTTTCATAAGTGCAAGGCACAAATCCATTTTAAGAGGAAACTATTTTGAACAGAAGCCCTGACCCCGTTGTCGTCTTGCTGTTGCTCATGGCTTTTGAGGCAGGAAGAACGTAGGGAGTTTTGTGCCCCAAATAGTCCCCCTGCCCCAGTTCTTCTCCTGGCTCCTTTTAAATTGTTGGGTTTGATGTTTCAGAGTGAGATTCAGACCAGGGATGGGGAGGCTGTGGTGCTTCAGCTGCTGTTGGGCTCCAACTCCCAACTGCCTCAGCCAGCATGGCCAGTGGGCAGGGATGCTGGGAGTTGTAAACCAGCAACAACGGGTGGACCACGAGTTCCCCATACCTGGTTCAGGTGAAGCCATGTGCCTGTGCTGACACTGTCCCTGCTGTTGAGGGTTAGCCCTATGGAATTTGGAAGGGACATAAAACACCCTTCAAACGCCACAGCCCAGCCCCCCTTTTAAGGGTCAGCTGCTAATGTCTTCCTTGTATCCATTGTCTAAAACTGTTACATTATAAAGCAGAAACAAAGCATTTATTTAGACTCTAATGCTCCAGTCAGTTCTGAGTGTGTCATCTGTGTCTCACACATATGTTTGGACCAAAATATGTAATTAGCCACTTGGTTCTTGCACGTGGGGGTGAGTGGATGGGTCAGTGGAAGAAGAGGTTTCATGCCTGAGGATTGGGGGTGGCTGGGGTACCCCTGTGCCCCTTCGCCCCAAAAGCTCTTGGACTCAGCTCCCAACAGCCCCCAGCCAGTATAGGGTCAGGAATTATGGGAGTTGGAGTCTAGCGGTGACTGGGGGTGGGCCACTGAAACCCTCCCCCCCATCAATTGAAAATGGACTTCAACTAAGGAACTGGTAGTTGCATTAAATAGCATCACATCTGCGTTTTATTATTGTAGCTCTTAACCTTTTAAGATCAAGCCTGGCCGGGAGCAGAGCTGGCTCTATGCAATGGGTGTGATCTTGTAAGAAGGAATGGGTTCTTGGAATCTCTTGGCGTCACTTGGATCTGAATTGTTGCATCTGAACACCTGTGAGGGTTTGCCACTGCGCTCTTAACCCAGAACCGTTTGCTAGTACTGGATTCTGTGGCGCCATTTCTCTTCTCCACCCACTGGCTCACACCTTTTCCCTTTGCAGTGCTGATCTTTCCATTGGGCACAGAGGGCTTGCTGAGTACTTCCCATCTCTTCTCTAAGGGATGGATCCACTCTTTATAAACTTTTTACATACTCTGAGTGTGTGGACCCTGCACACTGGATGCTCCCCAGGTATTTAAGTGGTGGCTGGCCCTTGGTTGTTTCTCGGTTTGCCTGGAAGCAACTTGATGAGAACCAAGTGTCCCCTTTGGAGATGCAGGAGTTGTTCACGCACTGAATGTGAGCTTATTGCAGATCTAAATCTGGGCCTATGAAAGAATGCTAAGCAGTTCCCATGCGACATGCCTGGAGACCCAAGGAAGACAGATGTAGCAACTCTTCCCACCTTTCAGTGAATTCTGGATTCTTCATGCGGCCTCCTGCACTTGGTAACAGCTTCATTGTTTTTAAAATGGGCATCTCAACAGCCTCAGAAGTAGATCTTAAGAGATTGGCAGGTTAATGCAGGCACAGCTATTTGTAAAGTACAGTAACTCGGACCCAAACCATTTAGGACTTTAGAACTCATCCCCATCAATTTGAATTGGGCCTAGAAGCAAGCGGTGCAGCTAGCAAGTCGAAGTGTGATGCTCCAACTTCCTGCCCCCAACCAGGAGTTGGTGACCGGCATTCTTTGCCAGCTTTACGTTTCTGAACCATCTCCAATGGCAGCCCCATGTGGAGCACGTGATGATGTCCACTGATTGTCCCCTCCTGAAAACAAGAAACTTTGAGAAGCACAGAAGAAAATTGGTGGCTGCCTATTGTTCTCTATTTGCAAATGCAGGAGAAGCAAAAGGGCAAATCCTGTTGCCTCGTGGCCCGTTTAATGGAATGAGGGGCAAGCAGGGATAATGAGAGAGCGGGTGACTAGCTAAAGAGGACTTGGCCACTGGTGAAAAATAATCTGCCACACCAGCAGGGGAAGTCAGTGGTCCATCTGTAGTGCATGCAGGTGTCGGCAGGCAACAGGGTGCTCTCCAGGTGCTGGACTCCAGCTCACATCAGCTTCAGCCAGCATGGGCCCTGGCCAGGCATGATGGGAGCTGGAGTCCAACAATATCTGGAGGGCTTGAGGTTGGCCATCCCTACCTTCTATCCTTTGCTCTCCATGGAAACTTTGGCCCTCGGCTCATTAGGGGATGGGACCTTGTGATGTTGCCCTGCTTTTGCAGTACAATTCATAGGCTGCTTTCTGTTCCCCTGCTTCAGCCCTTGGAAATAACTTTTACCAGCGTGTGTTTTGTTCTCCCCTCTGTGTGTGCGCGCGCAATATTGGGGAGTCAGTGCACAAACGGCTTGCCTGGGAGAAGACTGTCCACATGCCACTTTTGTTATAAATAAAGGGGGGAAACAGTACAAGGTGTCTGACTGTATTTCTTGCAGAGGGAAGCCAAGAGGGGTGTGGGTGGGTGTGAGGCAGAGGGAGAGGGAGGGAGAAACCCCTGTGACTGGGGAGCTCCTGAGCCAAGGAAATGTGTGTTTTTGCCCCCCTGGTAAGAACTGGTCTAGTACACACATGGTCTTGGTTACCTGTCTGAAGCCGTCAGTGGGTTTGGCTGCAGGGAACTCATGGCACCAGTAAATTCACACAAATTCCTTTTTCTTATTGGAGCAGAACAACTTCAAACAGCCTTTGAAGAGCTTAGAATCTCAGATATGACAACAAGGGTGTGTGTGTGTGGAGGGCTTCCAGTCCTTTAGTTCTGCTGTCCTCAACCTGATGCCCTACAGCCAGCTGGAGGGCACAGGGTTGGGGCAGGCTGGTCTGGTTTCTCTCCATGGTTAGCTGCAAGCCCACATTAGTTAGGTTGCAAGAAGCTGGACTTCAGTGGGCAGTAGGGCAAATGTTACAAGAGACTTGCAGAGAAGATGGGGGAAGTTTGCTGTTTTGTGGTGGCATTATAAGTTCTTTTCCAAAGCTGATGTGTGACTTTTGCAAAGCAAATCCTGTTTGTGCTTCTCATTGCCCACAATTGTGTATTGAAAAGCACAGCCAGGCACCCAGCCTTGGATCATACCTGAGCCATGGGCTAAAATGTTCATTGTGTTCCTTATTCAGAACAGGACAGCAGGTGGAATTCAATGCAGCATGCATACAATTGGCTTAATATTTTGCTTCTGTTGTACCAAATTGCTGTGCCTGAGTCTGAGTAACAGTTTCCTCTCAATGGTTGCAATCCTAAACTCACTTACCAGGAAGCAAGCCCCACTAAATTTCATAGGATTTACTTCTGAGTAAACATGGTTAGGATTGCGCTGCAAATCCTTAAGCAATGTAATGCTTGCTTTTCAGCTGAGGGTTTGGCAGTGCCTTGAAAGAGCCCTAGCCCATAGTAAGCTGAATTACAATGTAGCAAACACATCTGTGGGGTGTACTGACATCTGCAATGCTAACAGCAATAGCAATGTAGGGTTGCCAGGTAGGCAGAGAAAAACCTGAACCTGCTCCCTTCAACAGCACTTTGAACGCAGAAATCAGGCATCACACTTGCCCCAAGATGGAGCGGAATGGGATCGCCTGCTAATCCTGCAGATCAGAGCACTGTTAAAAAGACACCAACTACAAAGGATGGCTCAGATTGGCAGTTTGTCTGCAAAGTCTAACTAGAAGTGTTACTATATGTATTGTTTGGCCGTGTTTGTTTGTTTGTTTGTTTGTTTGTTATAAATTCAAATTCCAGAAAATAGCTGCCAGTGGGGGCAGGAGGCAGATCAGAATTCGGACTGTGCTGTGCAGTATTGGGTCATCCCACCCATGACATCAACCTGATCCTATGGGACAGTCCCATATTTTCCAAGCTCCCCGTGTCAGGGTTAGGAACATATGGCGCTCCAGAGGCTGTTGGACCCCCAGCTCCCATCAGCCCCAGCCAGCATGCCCGATGGTCAGGGATGATGGGAGTTGGAGTCCAGCAACAATGGCAGGAGCTTCTGCCCATTTAACTGAGGGCAGATATTGGAAACCAGATCACCATGTGGGGCGGCAGTGGGCACAGAAGGATTCTGGGGAGGGCAGGTAGGTGTCTGAGAGAAGAACTATGCAAATGTAACTAATGTGGTTTGCCTGGCCTTTTGGCCTGCAAGAGTTATTTACTCCAAATAGTTTAAACTAGGAGCATGGGCCCCTGAAGCATGGAGGCTCTAGAGAGTTGTAACGTATTTGCAGATGTTCTCTTTTGCTAAGGAAAGAGACATAGATCATCTGCCAGCAGGCCGCTTGTGCAGTCCCACAAAGATACACGAGGAGGTCTTTCCATTTCTTTCTCAGCCCCCCTTTCTCCACGAGGCAGCTGGCAGCCATAAGCCTGACCAAAAACACTCTTCTTCTGTCTTACACAAAAGCATTAAAGCAATAAAATGGCATGATCAGAAGGAGTGTGGCATAGCATTCTTGCTGAAGTGAAGGGCTAAACCGAATCAGATAATAGAGATCCATAATTGAAATTGAAATACTTTATTGTCACTTGTACAACTTGTATACAGTGAGATTACACTAGCACCCCCACTCAGATGGACATCACTCTTAATTTTTTATAAAAGCACCAGTGGGGAGGGGTGTTTGTGTGATTCATGGTGTGTGCCGGGGTGTGTCTGCTAGCTAGCTCTTTCCTCCTCCACCATTTCCCTTTTCTGTACCCCAAAGCTTTCCGTAAGTGACGTGGAAGCTTGTCCCCCTTGCCAGATGTGGCCACACTACAATTCCCATCATCCCTGACCATGGGCCATGCTTCCTGCAGCTGAGGGGAGTTGGAGTCCTGCAATGTCTGAGCAGCCACAGCTTAGCTGCCGATGTGGGGGGGGGGCTATTTTCATTAGAAAATGGTGCAGGGGGAAGGGTGAAACCTCCCCCCCCCAAGGTTGTGCTGCCAGCCTCAATTGCCACAAAATGGGGAGGGGCTGCGTTGGCATTTCAACTCTTATTAACCCATTCTGACTTCTAGTAGCACAAAGGGTTTACGTTTTGTTCCCTGACAGGGTCCTTAATGCAGGGCCTGCAGCAGTTTCTCCCAGGCTCCTAGAAGAATAGGGGGAGGGAGGCAAGTCAGGAATTTGGGGTATAGTTAATACAAACTGTCTGAACACGGCACACCATGCAACTCCATGGCTAGGGTCAAGAAAAAGGCAACTTTGGCACACCCCGCTTGTGTACCTTGATGTCCAACTTCAGCATACTTGGGAAGTGGTGTTGGGTGGGAGGGGGAGAGAAACATTTGTTTAGAAGATGCTGCTAGACCCTGTTTCAAGTCAAGTTTCCAAGGCCTCAGCCTCTGTCTTGGCGCGTTGACAGGATGAGGCGTGGATGTTTGCTTCTCCTCATCTGTGGATTTTTGTCACAGAGCCAAGAAGCCAAGAGATGCTGGTGGGAGGCCTTGATAATTGGAACATTTGGGATGAATTTGGATCCAAAGGGCTGGGACGGCCTCTCGGCTTTGATAGAGTTCCTGGAGCAGGACATGTGCCAAGGCTCTGTAGCCCTGCGGTTAAACACCCTGGCCCTGCAATTCTGCAGCAGCCAGCTGAAGTCTGGAGCCAATTACAACCAGAGTGAGTTTGGAAGAGCTCAGCTGAATTCTGTCTCTCTTCCACCCCCCCACCCGGTTCACTCTGCTTTTGAACATCTGGGCCTTCTTGGAGGAAAAGAATCATCCACCCATCACTGTGGCTGACTATTGCCTGCCAAGGGCCTCAATGCATGGAGAGCAGAAATGGGTGGATTCAACAGCGGGACAATAGTCAAGCAAAGATTTCTGGACTAAATTTGGCACTGGAGTTCTGGATGCCTTAACTGAAGCACTATGGGTCTGTGCTCGCGCAAAGTTAAAACTGTCCAAACTGCAGAGTATCTCCCATATGCCTTCAATTGAAATATATGGCTTTTCACCCCACATAGAAGTAAAACATAAAACAGATATGCTCCTTGCCTCTATGTAACAATTATCATTAAATGCCGAGCCAACTAACTTTAAAGTTTTAAAACTATTCAAGATAAAAACAAAATAACATTAGAACAGACTGCGGTGCTGAAGGACAAGCAGCCATACTCGATCCCATCCTCACTTGGACCACTGGTTTATATACAATAGAGATCCTAGATGAACTTCATATATTGTTTTCTTTCTTCCCAAATCTTATCACTATATGAACCCCTTAACCCACCCTTCACCCTCACAATTATATACCACTATGAAACATTAAAACGCCACAATTTTTAGTTCCCAAGTTTACTTATTAATAGTGTATTAGACTGACGGGAAAAGAGGATTTGCTCAGCTACCAAAACATACTGCTTTATACATGTGCAATGTAATGCACTGGCCAGCAGGGGTCATTCATTGCAACAGTCTGCAATTGCTTGTCATTAAATACAATGCTCAGTGTTATTTACAGTGCTCCCTCGGGTTCCATATGCTTCAGGTTACATACGCTTCAGGTTACAGACTCCGCTAACCCAGAAATAGTACCTCGGGTTAAGAACTATGCTTCAGGATGAGAACAGAAATCGCGCTGTGACTTCGCAGCGGCAGCAGGAGGCCCCATTAGCTAAAGTGGTGCTTCAGGTTAAGAACAGTTTCAGGTTAAGAACGGACCTCCAGAACGAATTAAGTTCTTAACCTGAGGTACCACTGTAATTGGAAAGTGAATGAGAAAGGCACTGCACATGGGGAAACAGTGCAAAAGTTTAAATCTTTCAATGTCCATTGCAAATCCTCCTCCCATTAGCCTTTCCTTTTTTATCCTTCCACCAAGTCTAATTTGGCAAGTGTAGGTTTGGGAACACAAGAACACACAAATACACAGGCACACATGCAGAGAGAGATGCCTTACTCACTCACAAAGACCCAACATTTCTACTGTTGTGGATTCACTTTGAAGTGATGCTGGATCATAGTTTTGGGGGGATTGGCAAAGGAATTTTACTGTCTTGGAATGGGTGGGGGTTGAAGGTTCTTTAATGGAACTGCAATGACTAGAGAATAGTTGGAGATATTCCTTGAATGTTGTGAGCGAGAGAAGCCACTGGAACTGGGGAAGTGACTCATCCCTCATTGCCTGCTACCCTGGGATGGGTGCAGGGACCGAGCCAAGAAATTCGTGCTCTAGGTAACTTATTGCTGCAATCTGTCTGTCTTGAGAGACAATGGAAGAGTGCTCCATCAGGGATAAAGACAAAGAATTGCATAGTTATAGCACCTGCTATGGCTGTAAAGACCAATATGAGAGAGACATGTTTTATTGCAGCTGAGGTGGATGAAGGCATCCAGTTTTGCTGCTGCAGATGCACCATAGAGTTTCTTCTCTCTGTGCTCCTCCCAGTGGTCATTCCTCCTCTGGTCACTGCTATGGATGCGCAACCTGTCTGCCACCACACACTGCAAGGGGTTCCCACAGGTCAGGGTTGATGTTGCCAACCTTTGTGTCGCATCTGCAGACATCTTTGTAACACAGGGGTGGCCTGCCAACAGGTCTGGTGCCTGAGGCCAGTTCCTCATAAAGCACATCCTGCCATCTTCCATTCTGGGTACATGACCAAGCCAGCATTGATGTGGCTGGGACAGAAATGTGAACTTGCTCGGAATGTAGGCTCGGAAGAGCACATCTTTGTCTGAGACTCTGTTCTGCCACATGATGCCCAAAAACTTCCTGACACAACACATGTGGAAGGCATTGAGGCGTTGCTCCTGGTGGGTGCAAGTTGCCCATGGTTTACTTTCATAAAACAGTGTGCTAAATATGCAGTCAGGTAGACCTTTCTCTTGGTATTGGAGGCTAGCATCACATTCTCCCAGACCCTGTCGGAGAGGTGAGCCATTGCTGTCGCTGCCTTGCCAATATGCTTATCCAGCTCAGTTTCAATGGAAAAGTGACTTGTTATGGTAGAGCCCAGGTAGCAATAGAAGTCATTTTAGAAGAGGGCTAAGGGCTAGCTGGCTGTGCAACTTGTCACCTTCCAGATGTGGTTGGACTCCATCAGGCCCAGTCAGCATGGCCAGTGGATGTGGTCCAGCAACACCTAGGAAGGTCACAGGTTCCTGCTGTAAAAGGCTGAAGGCATCTTGGGGTGCAGATACTTCTCTCTGGAGATCTGTTCTGAAGGTAACAAACCTGTGGCCCAGCTAGGAGCATGAAAGCTGGTTGCCTCCACCTATGCTCGGCTTGTGTGTTGGTAAATTAAACTAATACTTGCAAAAAACCAGCATGTCTCCAGTGCCCTCTGCTCCAAAAGGAAGCACTATCCCTGAAACTTCTCCTTAGGAAAATGAGGAGCACAAAACTCTTACACACTGCCCCAAAAAAGGGGCAAATAAGGACATCGATTTGCATAAACTTTGCATAAGTGTTTCTGCTGGGCAAGGCTGAGACCTGGTGGCCTGTGTGTGCTTGCTCAGCCTGCTGATGGGCAAGTTCAAGGCTCCCTCCCTGCATGGTGTGAAAGTGGCCTGTGATTGTCCTTGTTAACAAGTTTTATAGGGTTTGACTTCAAAAACCTGCACAACCTGTCTGACCAAAACAACAGTATGAGAAACAAAAGAAGTGTATTTGTGTACACGTTTCTACCCCTTTGACTCTACTGAATCTCTTCCACATAAGGCCTTGCAAGATTTGAAGGTAGGGGTTGTATTTATTTTTAAAAGGCAGGTGATGCATAGATAGCCAGAAGAGGGCAGGCACCACAACAAAATCTAAACAGAGGAACTGTCTCCATTGGCGCTCCAACTAATTGAAGTTTTTGCAAGAGGAAAATACTTTTTCCAATAGAATTTCACACTACAGCATATTTTTCTTCACCCATCAGGAATTCCTTGGGGCTTATACCTGCTTCATGCATATATTTTAAATGATGTCTTAGAATCATAGAATCATAGAGTTGGAAGAGACCACAAGGGCCATCGAGTCCAACCCCCTGCCAAGCAGGAAACACCATCAGAGCACTCCTGACATATGGTTGTCAAGCCTCTGCTTAAAGACCTCCAAAGAAGGAGACTCCACCACACTCCTTGGCAGCAAATTCCACTGTCGAACAGCTCTTACTGTCAGGAAGTTCTTCCTAATGTTTAGGCGGAATCTTCTTTCTTGTAGTTTGGATCCATTGCTCCGTGTCCGCTTCTCTGGAGCAGCAGAAAACAACCTTTCTCCCTCCTCCATATGACATCCTTTTATATATTTGAACATGGCTATCATATCACCCCTTAACCTCCTCTTCTCCAGGCTAAACATGCCCAGCTCCCTTAGCCGTTCCTCATAAGGCATCGTTTCCAGGCCTTTGACCATTTTGGTTGCCCTCCTCTGGACACGTTCCAGTTTGTCAGTGTCCTTCTTGAACTGTGGTGCCCAGAACTGGACACAGTACTCCAGGTGAGGTCTGACCAGAGCAGAATACAGTGGCACTATTACTTCCCTTGATCTAGATGCTATACTCCTATTGATGCAGCCCAGAATTGCATTGCCTTTTTTAGCTGCCGCATCACACTGTTGGCTCATGTCAAGTTTGTGGTCAACCAAGACTCCTAGATCCTTTTCACATGTACTGCTCTCAAGCCAGGTGTCCCCCATCTTGTATTTGTGCCTCTCATTTTTTTTGCCCAAGTGCAATACTTTACATTTCTCCCTGTTAAAGTTCATCTTGTTTGTTTTGGCCCAGTTCTCTAATCTGTCAAGGTCGTTTTGAAGTGTGATCCTGTCCTCTGGGGTGTTAGCCACCCCTCCCAGTTTGGTGTCATCTGCAAATTTGATCAGGATGCCCTTGAGTCCATCATCCAAGTCGTTGATAAAGATGTTGAATAAGACCGGGCCCAAGACAGAACCCTGTGGCACCCCACTAGTCACTCTTCTCCAGGATGAAGAGGAACCATTGATGAGCACCCTTTGGGTTCGGTCAGTCAGCCAGTTACAAATCCACTGAGTGGTAGCATAGTCAAGTCCGCATTTTACCAGCTTCTTTACAAGAATATCATGGGGCACCTTGTCAAATGCCTTGCTGAAATCAAGGTAGGCTACATCCACTGCGTTCCCTTCATCTACCAGGGTTGTAATTCTGTCAAAAAACGAGATCAGGTTAGTCTGACATGACTTATTTTTCAGAAATCCATGCTGACTATTGAAAAAAATAAAAACCTAAGGTTGATATCCTATGCACACTTAAAGGTAAAGCTAAAGGGACCCCTGACCATTAGGTCCAGTCATGGCCGACTCTGGGGTTGCGGCGCTCATCTCGCTTTACTGGCTGAGGGAGCCGGCGTACAGCTTCCGGGTCATGTGGCCAGCATGACTAAGCTGCTTCTGGCGAACCAGAGCAGTGCACGGAAATGCTGTTTACCTTCCCGCCGGAGCAGTACCTATTTATCTACTTGCACTTTGATGTGCTTTTGAACTACTAGGTTGGCAGGAGCAGGGACCAAGCAACGGGAGCTCACCCTGTTGCGGGGATTCAAACCGCCGACCTTTTGATCGGCAAGCCCTAGGCTCTGTGGTTTAACCCACAGCGTCACCCACGTCCCTTTATGCACACTTACCTAAGAGTAAACACAGTTGGAGATTGGAGTTGCTTCTTAGTAAACACACATAGGATTTCCACTCTTACCAGGCAGTCCTATGCAGCTTTTCTCAGAAAGATATGCTAATATGTTCAATGTGGCTTACTCCCAGGAAAGTCTTGCAGAGGATTGCTTCCTTAAGGTTTCATTTTATGCAGATCGGATACAGATACAGGCTGAAAACACAGAGCTTAATCCAGTCCAGCTGGATTATTGTTTTTGTTTAGTTTGTGAATCAGTTTTAAAACTGTAATGAAGAGGCAATGTGTGTTTGTGTGTGTACGTGTTAAATAAAAAAAAAAAGGTAAGAATTTAAGAGTTTGAAGCATCTGCAAAACACTCTCCTGTTAAATTAATGGAATTTACAACCTGTTTATTCAGTATATCTTGATTTGCTGGCAGAAAGCTTTACATGATGGTTGCACTATTACAGTCTTTACTGAGTATTCATTCTAATTTGCTTATGGGGCAGTTATATGACAAAAAGCATTTCTGCTTATTTGTTTGTGGGGTGTTTGTTATTTGTTCATTCTGCCCTTTTCTGCACATTTCTCCATCTCTTTTCCAAAGGCAAAAAGTCTCCTTTTCTTTTCTTTTCAAGTGGATTTATTGCCATAGAGCAATAAGGTGTTTGACCCACTTTAATTCAGCAAACCTAACTTTCCTGGTACGTACTTGATGCCCTCCTGCAAAAAAGGATAGAGTCTACAGTCACCTTTTAAAAGTGTTTACCTTTGCCAGGACTGTGCCCATAACCTACAGATGCTTTTGGATTGGGGGGATCCTGCACTTACCAGCCTATAGCAGCAGCTCGTTTGTTCACCACACAAGGGCTGTGCTGATAATACCTTTGCTGATCTCAGTAGCTGCTTATCCATCAGCCAACGAGGGGTCCTGTCCTCAAGCCCCTCCTCCCAGCTCCACAATAATCTGGTGCCCAACCTGCACAAAAGGAAAAGTATACAGTGTTTAATGTCAAGTGGAAACCGGCTTCCTGAATACATTTTATTACACGGACAATGTTCTTTTTAAACGTGTCACATTTGCATGAAGTTGAAATGCAACTGTGGTTGCAGTTTGCAAAGGTAAAGGGCTCTTCCCCATGACCTATTTATTTCATCCTAATTTGGCTGCACGAAGCTTACTTGGAGGTTCGATTGTATCCAGTTTTTATTGATCATTTGCTCTGATTTGTTTGTGGGGGCAGTTATACAACAATGAACAGCCTCCATTCATTCCATCCTTTCCAATGCATTTTCCTGTCACTTTCCTGACTGAATAAAGTATGTTTCCTTTAAAGCTGATTTGCCATGCTAGGGTGGCAAAGCATCCACTTTCATGGCATAAACCTAAATTTCCTGGTATGTGCTTGAATCCTCCCCACAAAATACTGAGTCTGGAGGTGTCCAAAGCAAATATTAAGTGCCACTGTTCTTTGTGACAGAGAATAGCTGTAGTGAAGTGTAATAGCTGCAGTGTAGTGGCCACACCCCAGGAACGCCTTCAACTGGCCGCAATGGAACTCAAACCCTCAGTGAGTTAGGAACTTGCCTTGCATGCAAAAACAGGTTCTGGCAGATTGAGCAGATAAGACCAAGAGTGGGTCCAATGGTCAAAAAGATGGTTTCTGCACCTGCTGCAGAGGAAAGTGAGGGGCAGATGAGGCTCGACTACCTGGGAAGGGAGCCCATCTAGGAGAAGGAAAACTCTGATTCCAAACCTCTGCTGCCTTGCAGGAAATTTTTGGGAGAAGAAAAGGCTCAGGAGTAAATCCTACACAAATCTGGAGTGGAGTCCCTAAGGCTGGCACCTTGTAAGTCTCCTGCCAGCAACTGCGGCAGCCCAGCTGCTGATAAACATCTTGCTCTGCTTTCCCTTGGACCACATCAGCGAGGCCGAGGGGGGGGGTCTTGACATCTGGGCAGCCCAGGACCTCCATACACACTGTCCAAGCTTGTGCCTCAGGGAGGTCACTTCAGGGCTGCAAATGCAATTGTTTGACTTCACCCTCCATGGTTTCTTGAGACAGATGCCAACAAGTGGCTACAACTGTGAGCTGGAAAGCCCTGGATTCAAACTTTTACTTGGCTATGAACTTTCTGGGTTGTAGGATGCCCCTGCGTGCTACTGTACAGAGTTTTTCCAGCCCAAATCTGATCTAAAGATAAAGAATCTTAAGATGGGAGGGACCTTGAAGTTGCCCATCAACCATTAGCAACTCCTGGACAGCAGACTGAGCAGGCAGCCACACCTAGGCCACAGTCTTCCCCTCTGCAGTGAGATCCACTGAATTTCTATTACCTTGGATTGCACACCTATCTATACCTACCAAGTAGCACATGCAAACTCTGTACAAATCTGTGTCCTCTCTTGGGCATTGTCTAAGTGGCCATTCTACTGCATGGCCTGAAACAGGTCACTGTTGTCTCAGTCTCCCAGTGAGGATAGTAATACCTGCCATACCCCACAGTTGTAACCATTCCTGGCCTTTATGATGTAATCCCAACACTCGAAAGGCAATATAAATGGGCAAAAAAGCAATAGAGTTTGAGACACTCCCATGGAATGTACCATCAGAGTCCAAACCTGGATGTAAGGCCTACTGATTTCAACAGTACTTGCTTCCAAGGAAGATGTATCAAGACTGTAGTGTCAGTGTCTGGGAACTGGGTCAGAATGATTCCCCATCACCCCCCCCCCCCTTGCTAGCTCTGTATACATTCTTTTCCTCCAAACATTGTCTTCTCAGAAGACCAGGAACAGGAGTATTTGGTTTGTACATGCATATACACTGATAATTTACGTTCTATCTTTATTTTGTACTTAGCTTTATAGTGCTACAACAAGTATGCTGGTGTCTCAAAACAAGGTTTGACTTGTTTTGGTGGGCAGGTGAACCAAGCAACCCTGTTGAAATTCAGAACCAGATGTGACTTACCAGCACCAGGTGCAAAACTCCTTGATTTCCCAAGCATTTGAATTGTGGCTGAATTTTTCATGCATGCGCATTATCAAAGCGTTCCTTCAGAACACAGCACTTTGAGCATCATATTACTTTTCTGCCCATTTGTGGTACAGCACCACATTGCACAACAGATCAGCCTCTTACTTCCTTGTGCCTGGTTTACAGACCACTAGATAGACATGGAGAAATTGAAGGGTAAAAGTAAGTGACCACAGATGCGCAAATATGGTGAATACCACCAACTGTTTCTGCTTTTCCATACTAGCTGTGCAGGAGGCAGAGATGCAAAATAGAGAATTAATTCGTAATAAATCTGTTTGTTTGTTTTTAAAATATACGAACAAAGCAAAATTTTGGCTCATCAGAGTCAGGGCACATTATACATACAGGAGTTACAAACAGGCTAGATTCATATGATGGACTGGCTATGGACTTGTTTTGGTAGGCAGTTTTATGTTTTTGTGAATTCAGCAGCTTTGCTGGTTATCACCATGATTAGAGAAAACATTCTCTCTCATATGTCCTATATACAGATAGCAAACTCATTCTTGGAGTGCTAAACCTTATGTAGTCAAAGGGAACCACAAGATTTGCAGAAATACTCAAAATATATAGGTTTTTTTTTAAAGTGAACAGTCTCCCCCCACCTCTTGGCCAAAGGGGCCCAATGAGGACTGTGCATGCTTAGCAGACATAGAATGCTGATGACCGTTGGGGGGGGGAGAAAACTGAAGGGGAGTGAGGAATGGAATGGTATGTCTCAAAAGAGGGCATGGCTGGCAAGCAGGGCTTTTTTCAGCTGGAACTTGGTGGAACGCAGTTCCGGCACCTCTCAGGTGAATGCGGTTGTCATTCTAAGAGAACAAGGGAGGTGTTCGTGGTGAGTTCTCACACTTCTTTTTCTAGAAAAATAGCACTGCAAAGAATGTTGAGCAAGAGGGTTCCATTCTGCAGCATCTTAGTACAAATATCCCTTGTGGTGCTTCCAGACTCTCACTATTTTCGGGTGCGATTCAATCCCATCCCAGAAAAATCAGATGGTGTGATTAAAGCTGATCTGGAGTTCTTCTGAAACAAACTCACTCACCCCAAAATATTGTGAAGCTTTTGTGATGAGGAAAGTGACTGGGGAAATGCAATCTCTGGGAAGTGTGGAGATGACACTTGCTTTGGACTCAAGGGCTGTCTCTTCATCCCACAAAGGAATTGGGCAAAATGCTCATCAGACAGCTGATGTGGTGTCACCTCTCCATCCACAAATCCATCTGAACGCTCATTAAAAACAGCCCTTCTGGAAGTGACTTTACTGCACTGGCAGGATAAATGCTGAAGACGTTGTCATGGTCAGTTCTGGTTTTGTCACTCACAGTGGCTTACACTCCATTTCGAAGTTGTCTGACAGTCCGGTTACAAAAACAGAAAGCATTTTCCTTACCTCACTTCTATTTATTTAAAAAAGTAGAAATCTGAAAAAATAAAAGTTCTTTTAAAAAGTTAAATAAATTTGGTGATTAATAACCTGTTCAATGTAGTAAGAACCAACCTTTTGAAAATGGCAGGTATCCATCCATGACACTGGAAAGCCAACCCAGGTACGTCTGGCAGCTGAGCCACCCGACAAACCCTGGCCATTCCTGCCTGTGTCTCAGCGCATGCCTGAGGCTCCAGGAGGGGGCACTGTGGCCGGCTGTCCTCCCCGAGGCGTCGTGCGCCTGGATCCCGTACAACAGCGCAATGTGGAACGCGTTAATAGGGAAGGAGACATTGCCTTTGAAGTGTCTCCCTTTGATGTTTCTCTCCCTCTTTCTCTCTCGCACATAATAAATGGAACCTTATTTTCTCTGTCAGACAAAGGGGAATCGCCCCCCTGCAGCCCCAGGCGCTGACGCTCTTTGCTTCTCCCTCCCCCTCCACCCGCCACAGCCCACATGCCAACAGGGGCCAACCTGGTGGGGAGAAGGAAAGCAGGGAGAGCGGCCAGAGCAGCAGGCCTGGCTTCTTTCCTCCTTGCTAGCAAGGAAATGCCTTGCGGAAGGACTTTCTGAGCAACCAGCCCTGCAGGGGCTTGGGGGCAGATGCCCAGGCACCCCACTCAGAGGACTTGGCATCGGGGGCGGGCAGCAGAGCAAGGCTACCTCAGCAAAGCTTGAAGGGAAATAGTAGAAATTTCATCTAAACCAATGTGGCCCTCCAGCCCTCTCTGTGTGGCCCTTGGAAACTCTCATTAGGCCACACGCACCCCTGTCTGTCCCCTCACTGTCCTGCTTGGCTCCACCCAAAGTGCTTTTGCCCAGCTGGAAAGCACTATTGAGCTCTGATACGTGCAGAGCAAGGCAAGCAAGGGGTGTTGCCTGGGGAGGGGGAATAGTTGGGGAGAGTCCTGAGGGACAGAAAGAGAGGGCTGGAGGACCACTTTAGGCTCTCTGGCCCGGGGTTCCCCACCCTTGCCTTAGATCTGATGTGGGGAACCTTTGGTGCTGAACTACAAGTCCCATCATCACTAATCACTGGCTATGCTTGCCAGGGTTGATGGGAATTATAGTTCAGCAACATTAGGAGGGCCAAAGCTTTCTCACACCTGCTCACACATGCAACATCTGCTAGTTCAAAACAGCAGATTGGAAAATGAACAGATTAAGTACAGTCCAAACAATCAGGGATCCCACCCCCTAAAATCTAGTCTAATGATAAATGGTCTATTTTCCCACTTGGTATTTCTTCCCTACTGGATTAGTGGACATTTTTAAAAAACCACCCCCCCGGGGGCTAGACTGGACTATTTTGCCCTCTCACACAAGCTTTCCATGGGAGGGTTTTCTGAAGTGGCTCAGTCTTAGAATCGGACTGCATGTGCCATATGTTTTCCCCAGAATGTGTGGGTTAGTCTTTAGAACCAGGCTTGGTCTTTCTCTCCTGATGCTGGAGAAAGCTAATAGAGGGGGTGGCCCACAAGCCTAGGCAGCTCCCCCCCCGCCACAGCTCCCAGTCTCCTCCTCCTCCATCCTGCCCTCCTGACCAAACCAGAGAACAAAAGGTAGCGCTGGGCTGGCACCCCAGGGACGTCCTGCCTTCTCTGGGTTGCCTTTGCACCAATTTCAGCTGTGCAAACATCAGAGCTGTTTGCTTTTCTATGGGCCAGTGCTAGCCCAGCAGTGGCCAGTAGTGACCCAAGGTAGCTCCTTGCCTCTATGCTACTGTGAGGGTGAAAGGGGAGGTCATGGCAGCAGCTGCAGGCCCCCTTGGGATCCAGGCAACACTCCTTGACTGCCCATTCCCTACTTAGTAGAGTCCTTGTGGCTGTTTGGCATATTCCCCTCCTATGAACAGTGGAACAATTCACGGAGCGCATTCATGCTTCCCTGCAGATGGGCAACTAGATGTATCACGGAAGATCCATGAACTGGATCTCCAGGTTTTATTTTTTAAGTGTCAATAGCAGCTGTGCATGTTTGCCCTTTGGGTGGGTGTGTTGGCAGTGAGATGGTGCTTGATTCTCATTAGAACCACAGTGCTGAGGAAGGGGTGTGTGTGGTTATTTGACATTTTAAGAGAATAATACTGACGCTTATTATTTACATTTCTCACCCACCCTTCACCAAGAGGGCAGGATACAACAATGTAAAATACAACATTAGAGCAGTTAAAAACTTATCACACCCTCAACTGGTACTCATAGTTAAGCTTTCTCTTCGCTCACCACAAGCTGTATCTAGGGATGGGTGAATTTGTCAATTTTGGTTCCTCATTTTCCCCAAGCTTAAGTTCTGTCCTCTGCATTTGCATATCAGTTAGCACCTTCTTGAGATGAAATGAAAATCCACCAGCATTTTAGTGCTAATTTCTCCTAATATGCACATTTGTGTATGCAAGTTCGCCCAATATACACATTTCTCCAAAGCCATTTCCTCTAATGTAATGCATTTTTAAACATTATTTTCACCAATTAAATGTTATTTCCATGCACACTTAACTGGAGTATCTCTTCCTTTCAACATATTACTCAGCAGGAGCACTGCACTGCAACATTCAGATAAGTGTGAATTATGAAGGATGGCCGTGTTTCAGTTTGCACATTGTTTCAGCCGATGTGGATTAAGCAAATTAGTTCACCTTTAAATGTGAACTGAACCAAATCTCCCCCTCACTCTGAGCTGTAGCCAGGATTTGTTCACCATGAATCCCACTTTGGATTGCACACTGAGCCAAACCTTGACTTCAAGCCCGATTGCACTGCACATTTAAAGCAGCATCAAAGCCCTTTGCACAGCCTTGGCTTCCCTAAAAGAATCCCTGGAAGTGGAGCTTGTTATGAGCGCTAAATTGTTAGGCTAAAATTCTCAGAGTGGCTTAACAGTCAATCCCTCTTCCCAGGGAACTCTGTAGTTCTGTGAGGGGAATCAGGATCGCCTCACAATTCTCAGCACCCTTAACAAAATACTGTTCTTAGGGGAAGCCATGGCTGCTTAAAGTGGTCTGATATTGCTTTAAAGGTGTCGTGACGATGGGGCTATCACTTAGGAGGGCATCAAAAAGGACCAGGGAGGAGCAAAGCAGCCATGAGCAACTCTCTGGGAGCCTGCAGATTTGTGTGGCCCCAAGAAGCCACCTTTGGGCTTGCTATATTGTGCAAACCAAGCCAAATAAGACACAGGAAGGGATAGGGTCGCATTTGCTATTCCATTCCAAAGCCCCAGAGTAAGAGGAGAAACATACAGGTTTTAAAAGCCAGAGAGAGGCAATTCTTACAAGAGGAGGTAAACGAAGATGACCTAACTCTGCTACTTCCCTGCTGTTAACCAGCTCCTCCTGAAAACTGTTTTTCTCTAAACAAAGCGGTGGTCAAGTTTGAGAACAAGAGTTTGCACGCCACACCTAGCTTGGCCCTGAGGGCCAGCCCCTCCTTCATGGAGAAATGAGAACAGCAATTGGGAGAAGCAGAAATGCCTCGGTAGCAGCAGCCACAACACGGGATGGCAGATTTTTTTCCTCCTTCCTGAGTGTTTTCTTCTGCTTTTGTTAAATGCAGGGCTTATTTGTTTCGCATGTTCATTACAGGTGTTTATCAGTGGTGGACTTGATTCTGCTGAGTTAGCCATTTTATTGCCTCCTGTTTGACAACTGGCTTTTGAAAGCTTATGGTTTGGAAATATTTTTTTGTAACCTGCCTTGAGCAATAGGAGAGGTGGTCTGGCAAGGTGTTGGCAAAGCACAGCAAGACGTTCTCTCCCCCCATTTTAACTTCATAATAACCCTGCAAGGCAGGTTGCGCTAGGAAATGTCAACTCATCCAGTGAGCTTCGCACCCAACATTGGATTTGCCTCCCTCCTCCACACCTCATGCTCTACCTACAACCTTGCCACACTTAGACCTGGTCAGCACACGTAGCAGATCAAGATAGCTGGATGAGAAGAGGGAACCGTGTTGCTTCATGCCGCAGGGCAGGGCTCACATTTTCTGATGTAGGAAACAAGTACAATTCTAGCACAAGGTTGGACAAGAATTTTTCTCTCAGTTGCATGGAATGAATAAAAGTTTTGCGTACCTCCATCTCTTGCAGAAAAACTGCTTGCGGTCTCGGAGTCAGAACCGCTGCTGCCTTGCTGTAGGAGCAACAGATTTTACTGATTTTAGGGAAATTCGCATCCACTTTCACCCTGTTTGATGTTGAAGGAGAAGGGGGGGCGGCAGGGTGAGAAAGCGTTGGGGGGGGGAGGTCTCTCTTTTTCTCTCTGCCATTGCTCAGCCTTTAACAAATGGTTCAGAAGGCAAGGAAGAAAAGCAGTGCATCTGGAACTTTGCTCTGGAGATGTTTTCAGTGGCTTTTTAAAAAGTGAAGGCAGCCCGGAAAAAAGCCAAGGCAGGAAATCTTCCTTACATGCTCATAAGGAGGAACAGCACATCTGCACCTTGGACGCATATGGTGTTCAAAGCAGTCCTTGCACGCATCTCCTGCTCACTCTTTTAGGGCTGGTTTCTGCATCACCTTATCCCAGTGCTTGAAAGGAGCCAGTTTGGTTGAATGAAGTTCACAGAATTGTAGAGTTGGAAGGGACCCCAAGGGACCCCAACCTCTGCTTATAAGGAAGGAAAGTCCACAGCCTCCCAAGGGAGACTGTTCCACCATCAAACAGCTCTTACTGTCAGAAAGTTTTTTCCTGCTATTGAGTTGGAATCTCCTTTCTTGTAACTTAAAGCCATTGGTCTGAGTCCTACCCTCCAGGGCAGGAGAAAACAAGCTGGCTCCATCTTCCATGTGACAGCCCTTGAGATATTTGAAGATGGCTATCCTATCTCCTCTCAGCCTCCTCTTTTCCAAAAGAAAGGCCAACACTCGTGTAAAATTCTCAAAATTCACTCATGTCCCAAATTCAAAAAGTGTCCCCCCACTTTCGTGGGAGATGAATTGTCCCATGAAACCCTGGGATATTTGGCAAAGCTTTATCTGAAATTCATGAAAAACTAATGCAAAAAACAGTTTTTGCATTACTTTCATATTGAAATGAATATTTCTACATTATTTTAGCTCTGGGGCAGCTGACAGGGTGTCCTCTCGTGTGGTTGGCCTATTATCCTCAGTGTTTGGCCATGCTAGCTGCAGCTAATGGGCATTACAGTCTATTTATTTACAAAAAATATTTATATACCACTATATCACCAAGATAAGACAAAACCATTCACTAAAATAAGACAAAACTATATAATAAAAGCATAAAAAGTAAAAACAAACAAAGCATCTGGAAGGTGCGACACCAGCTACCCTCTGGTTGATTTTTGCATTTGTTTTTGAAACTAATGCACAATGTTAATCAATACAAAGGAATACTATTTGCTCAGATTGCTCATCTTTTCCCTACTTACCTAAATAAATTAAAAATTCTGCACCAGGAAAAGTTGGATTTGCAATACAGTGCAAATTACTCATATTTATCTTCCTTATTCTGCTCATGCTAGTCATAGTCAAGTTCCACTCACTGAAAATCCTGGAAATTCCAGGTGTCACTGCCTACTTGAAAATTATTATCTTTGTTGAAAGTGATGGCTTTTCCACCTAGGTGAGACCACCCTAGACAGTGTCCTCATGGAGAGCAGCAAGGCTGGGAAACCTCCGAACTTTCCGATATTGTTGGATTCCAGCTCTCCTCAGTCCCATAGGAGCTATGGTCCAGTGACCACAGCTTCCCCGTTTCTGCTAGATGGGTAAGGGAACATCAGTGGCTTGGGCCCCTCCTTCCTCCGTTCTGAACCAGGGATGGGGAACCAGGCGACTTCATTACATTGCTGGACTCCAACTCCCATCAGCCCCAGCGTGCATAGCCAATGGTCTGGTCTGATGGCCGTTGGAGTGCAGCAACATCTGGGAGGACCACAGGTTCCCCCTGCCCTGCCTAGGCTAAGCTTTCATAGCTTCCTCAGCTCTTGCCTCATGGTGGGGTGGGGGAAAGGACTACGGCTTTAGCCAGCGTCTTTTAGGTTTCCATCCATTTCCAAAAAAGGAGAAGCAGCGGGGGAGGGAGTTCCATAGAGGAGATGTCACAGTGACAAGGAAATGAACAGAGAGGCCATCATCGATCAGGGCTGCAGGCGCCAGGATCAAAGGGACTTTACAGCTTGCCTCCCCGGGATCCTGCATGCCCATGTTCCCTGGGGTTACCGGAGCAACAGCATGTTCCAGCGGATGCTTTGCATTTTTATTCACACCACACATGTTTCCACTCTTCGGCAGGAATAATAAGAAAAACCTGCAAACCCAAATCTGCTGCCCACAACCCCTCCCCCAGTATGTATGCATGCACACAAGGACACACGCGCACACCCACAATCACACCCACCAGGCAGTGGCTATTTATGTCTTCTTTAATTAGTTGGTGCAAGGCATTTAGCCGGTTTTGTTCACTTAAGAGATAATTTTCTGACTCTCTGCCAGGTACTGCTGGATGTCCTGATTTTCTTGATTAAAAATCACTCTTGTATTCTGAACTGCTTTCTGGTGAAAGAAATAGCTTGCACTCATAAGGTATGGATTTGGATGTCTTTAGAAGGGTGAAGGCTGAACATTTTTTGGGTGCAGGTGGCAGTGGGGGGGCAGTTTAAACATACAAAGCTGCTCCATACCAAGTAGAATCATTGGGCCACCTAGCCTAACCCTAGGTGGCCCTTCTCTGCCCTAACCCTTCTCTGCCCCAGGAGTAGCGAACATGGTTCCCTCCCAATGTTGATGGACTAGAACTCCCATATTCCCTGACTGTTGACCATTGCTGACTGGGGCTGATGGGATCTGGAGTCCAACAAACTCTGGAAGGCAACACAATAGTAACAGAGAGACAAGTCCTGTGCTTGACTCTCAAGCAGACCCCCATATGCATTTCAGGGAAGCTTCTCCACCATTAGTGATCTTTTCATTCAAAAGCCCCCTGACAAGTGTCTGAGGAAGCCCAGCGTTCTCTAGCACATAGCAAAAGCCACTGCTCTGGTCTACTGAGCAAAAGAGGAGGCTGCTGTGGCAGCAGCACCACAGCACATGAGAGGCAAGAAGGAAAGCTGCTCTGACATGCTACCAGGGATGGGGAACCTGTGACCCTTCAGCTGTTGGACTCCAACTCCCACCAGCCCCAGCCAGCATGGCAAATCATCAGGGATGATGAGAGTTGTAGTCTAGCAGTATCAGGAGGGTCATAGGTTTCCCCATTGACATATACTCCAGACTCTAGGGTTGCTCCTGCTCTGGCTGTGGTGTGTCACAAGCCCCTGCTGAAGGCTGAGGGTGAAATTATGGGATGCAGCTTTGAGTTGGTTCTGGCCAAGCTCCTCCCCCCAGCAAACTTGTTGTAACTCCAGGCACATCACACTGGCCTACGTCACAATCAGGCTCTCCCTGTTACCTTCCACTTCTGGATGAGAGTCTTTAATGCAATAGATCTGCTAGGACAAACTTTTTTGCACATGTGGGTGGTAGTTGCTATATCAGGGCAAATAGGTGTTCCCTAAGATGGGGTGGGGGGAAGGCATTGGCTGGCCACAGTCCACTTGCTATTTTTGAAAGAGAAGCTGATGGTGGGAACAAAAAAACCGTGGACTGCTCAAAGGTGTAGTGAGAAGAAGAGAAGAGTTTGGATTTGATATCCCGCTTTATCACTACCCTAAGGAGTCTTAAAGCGGCTAACAATCTCCTTTTCCCTTCCTCCCCCACAACAAACACTCTGTAAGGTGAGTGGGGCTGAGAGACTTCAGAGAAGTGTGACTGGCCCAAGGTCACCCAGCAGCTGCATGTGGAGGAGAGGAGACGCGAACCCGGTTCCCCAGATTACAAGTCTACCGCTCTTAACCACTACACCACACTGGCTCAATGGTGAGTGAACTGAGAATACAGCATGATGGGAATTGTAGTTCTGAGCATGAAAAGTTAAGAAGAGGGCAGAGACAAAGTAGCTTTGATGGGTCTTTGGATTTTGACAAGTTGGGAACATAAGATATGGGGAGCCATTGTGGCTAGGAGCTACGGCTAGGCAATACCCGTTTTTCAACATCATGATAGATGAGCAGCTAAACATTGCAATATACTGAATATACTGAATATACTGAAATCACAACCCATTTTTCCTGTCTTCTGTTGAAAACTGACATGTTTTTCTGATTTGTAATCTAGCTAAATTTGTATGATGCTTAGTAAAAAACAAAACAAAAACCCAAAGGTATGCAAAAGCCTTTTTGTTAAAAAAAGAGAGGGGCATTTATAAAGTTTTTATTTGTCAAAAGAAAATGAAGAAGTGGCATTTTTCATGGATCCTCAGTTCACCGAGGAAGCTCCAGAGGCAAATGCAATAGGATCAAGAGTTTTCTTGCAAGGAGAGCACATTGGAAAGTAATGGTGGGGTTTTGTGATGTCCTTTAAAAATGTAGTACTTTCTGCATGAGCAGAAACACTGATAATACAGGGAAAATAAAGCACCCAGGCCACCAGTTATAGTAGTGAAAGCAACATCAGTTCCTCCCAAAGGATATGCTTAGAGCCTCCAGTCAGCTGCAAACCTCAGATATCTTCCAAGCTGTTTCTCTCCACCTCCCACTAAGGTTGTGCACATTACTAGCTAACTAATAGCCAACAACCATCAAAAAGCCATTAAAGACATGTATCTTACTATGTATTAGAACTGTAAGCCTGTCATCACGTTGCAGTTTGCATGGCCATCCATAGGTGGCCAATGTAATTCCAGAATGATATCAAAAGAGCAGGCAGGAGAACCAACAAGCAGCGTGGGTGGCAGGCGGCCCAGGCCAGCTGTTGAAAGGAGGTACTTCAGAGAACAGTTTGGCAAAGCAGACTCTGAAGCACACACCCTCCCAGGTAAACCATCATTGGCCATGCCAGTGCAGTGGTGGGCAGGGCTAGCTACAAAAAATAGGTGGAGCACAAGTAGGTTGCGACAGTTGGGTACATTTCAGATCCACATGAAGCTAGAGGTTTGGTTTCTGCATAACAACATCTCTCCAGGTCAGGGATGCATTCCAACCAGGCTAAAGCACTCAAAGAGGATGTGGAGCAGGGCAAGAGAGTGTTAGAGCTTAGACAGAGCCCACAGGACTAAAAAGAGAGGTCTGGAGAGCCAAAATTGGCTCCAAAGCCTGAGATTCCCCAACCCTGCAATATGTAAATTGGAACGCAGTTATGGCAGATGTGGCTATGCACTGTATTTGCACCCAGACACTCATTTGGGTCCCATTGAACTTGATAGATTGGGATTTTATGCATTGTGGATGGTGCCAGCATCCTCTCTGAGGCGATTTCTTGAGTGTACAATATATGCCCAGAGCTGAATAGGGATCAAGATGCATAAAATAGACACCTCTGCCCCCCCACCCAACCATCCAAATATTAATGTTGCAAAAATTGGGTGTACAAATCCAGCCAAAATCAGCATGTCAAAGCATGCCATTGCTACTGACAAGAGCACATACAAGCAACCCACAGCCCATAGGCTGCATTGAAATTAATAGATCAAAATTTGTCATGTTCATTCATTTCAAGGGGTCTACTCTGAGTAGAAATAACATTAGATACAGCCCCATGTTGCTTTTACATATATTCATTCCATATCATTTCCACATTGATCTGTGTTTTGTTTTGCTTAAAAAAAACAACACCATGAAAAAACACAAATAAGTGATTTTCAGTTTCTTGAATGCATTCCTAAATGTGTTTTGATGCATTTTTTACTCTGAGAACTGCAGTGCAAAATTTGGAGATGTGCAAAATCTGAAGGATTTTGATTCTGATCCACAGCATTAAGAACAACAACAACAACAGCAGCATATCTCTTACCCTCCTTTCATAAAAAGGTCCCAGGAACACTTTGCAGCGCATGAAACCATTAACTTATCCACATTAGTATGGGAGGTCAGTTCATACTGGAATTCCCAAAAATCAAATCCCTCAGGCTTCCCCAGCTTTGACAGCACCAATCACTTCCTTTGAAAGCTTTGCAATGCCAGCCATCGAAAGGCACTTCCTCCCAACTTGAAGGTCCCGGAAATAACATAAATCATTCACTAACCTCAGGCAGGAAAATGCAACTTCCATACATTGCACCTCTTAAGACTGGAAAAGGTCTACATATTTTAACAATTTAAACTGCAGAGACACCATTAACATTGCTTGGAGCAATCATATGGGCGAAACCGCTTTTAAAAAGATATATTTGGAATTAATAGTTGAATGGGGAGGGAGGATTTGGTTCTTATTTGAATCTAACCTACATTCCAAAACAATACTGTGAACATGCAAACATACATATGTTTGTATCTTTGTATTTTAAACCAATAAAGATTTAATAAAAAACAACAACAAAAAACAGTACTGTGAGCAGAGCCACCCTGCAGAATTCACACTTTTCCGAATTTTGCAATGTATTTCTCCAGCCAAAAAATTGCAAACAAAATTGTGTACACTTGGGGAAAGTGTGTTTTAAGATGCACATCTTGCTGAAAGTAATATGAAATGTATTCTTTTAAGCAAAACTGCACAAAAAGATAAGGAGAAATGCGCATTGTGCTGGTGAACTTTAATAATGCAAATGGATGGAGAAATGTAGCAAAGTGAACTTGAGAATATGAGCTGTGCCAAAAGTGACAGTGATACGTCTCTCCCTCTGCTGGGCACTGGCAGCCCCCTCCTGCTTTCTCCTTCTGGAGTCATCACCACACCACCCACTCATATACCACTTGAACAGTCATGGCTTATCCCTTTCAAAGATCACAATGTCCCACACTAGTCTTGCCAAACAAGACAAACCCCCAAAGTCACTAGTCCACAATAGGTTTTGTTAGCCCATCTGATGACATACGCCTACAATGATTTATTAGCATAGCTGCTAAATTATCTGTGGTTTGGCAGAATCTGTGGCTTGACAGAATCAAATGGAATTTGGCTTGCATGGTCACCTGGATTAGGTTTATGCTCGCCAGAAGCAACCAGACAAGAGGCCTGCCCAATGCTGAGTCATGTTCTGAAATGCCAAACATCTGCCACATTCTGTCCCACAAAGCCCCATATAGGATTGCTACCTCTCAAAGAGAGAGCGAGATTCATTGAAATACATGCATATTAAAAGTGATTTTGCATTGCCTTGCTGCGGAGGTGCACTGGGGCCAGAGTTCTGGGTGCTGACTTGGTAAGGTTATAGAGGCTTCCAAGTCAGCCTTTGACATGGCCCAGTAAGGGCTTGCTGGGTTCTCTGCCAGGCCCCAGTTCTGGGAAGGTACACATTCCAACACACCCACCTTCACCCACCCCATCCGCCCAAGGCCCGTCTCATTGCAGGGGGTTTGCAGGAAGCTGGATGGCCGCTGGATCCCTTACAACTCTACAATTTTATGATTCTATGGTGTCATGGCTGCTTTTGACAAATTGCTTCAATCACTGCTCTCTCTCTCTCTCTCTCTCTCTCTCTCTCTCTCTCTCTCAGCAGCTACAAAGATTAATTATGTACAGATATATTCCCCCAAAGCATTCAACAGGCCTTTTTCAAGGTACTGAACAAAATGTGAAGCCTATGTGAAACCTACCATTTTAACAATCAAAAGCCATTTTTAAGGGACCACATGCCATTGTTTTTCCTTTCCCTCATTTCCGATTACAGAAATGCCCCTCACAACAAACCCACCTTTACCTCTCAGCCTCTCTGATTAAAACTGGCCATCAGCAATCAGCTTAACTGAGCTCAACAGAAGTTCCTTCCAGGCACAGGATTATAGCCACACCGTAGTTGCTTTAGGCTCCACTCTTATGTGCCACCTTCACCGTTGATGGGGTGGTTGGTTCATTAGGATGCACAGCAGAGAGAATTGCTGGCTGATGGAGAGGATCCACCTAGAATCATAGAGTTGGAATAGACCACAAGGGCCATCGAGTTCAACCCCCTGCCAAGCAGGAAACAGGAACCTCTGGCTCTACCCACCACCAGTAGCCGGTGGAAAGTCCCCAGACAGATACTTCAGGCTAAGGGAATGGGGCTGGTGGCCCAAACCTTGGGTCCCTCAGCTGTGGGGGGGGGGGGCAATCAAAATTGTCCCTGCTCCTTCTGCGCTGCTTGACACAAGCTGGCCGGGTTTTGGAAACAGCAGTGGCTCCACCCCTCCTTACAATTGCTCTGCAAGGCTGCAATCCTGTGCTTGCTTACGTGGGGATATCTCAGCAAAATGGGGACTGCAAACCTGCAGAGGATTGTTTGGTAAAGAGTACCGTAAGTCTGTTTACAAGCCCCAGAGACAACCCTGGGACATTTATGAGAAAAAAAGCATAGGGTTGGGTTGGAATGCTTGTGTCTCTAATGGAAAAAACTACCTTTTCAGACTTTTTTTTGCCAAAGCATTTGGTTTAACTCTAAAACCAGTATGTTCCTGTGTAAATAGAAGTTGACACAGGGAAGGGACCACTTTACCTACTATTAATCCCCTGTAACCAAGATGGCAAACACCCCATCTCTCTCAGATATATCTATATTGATTTGTTCCTCCTGAGAATAGCCTGCATCATTATGAGCTTGTGGCACTGCAATAAGTAGCCCCAAAGAGTCCACCCAGCAGCAGCAAATGCTGCCTCATTTATCTTTTGATCAGTAGCGAAGGCACCAACCCAATGCAACAACTGCTTTGCAATCTTCATTGACAAGGTTGTGGGCAGGGGTCAGCCCCGGCAGACCCTTGTCAATTACAGTGGGTGAGGGAAACATCCTCTGGCATCCAAACGGCTGGCTAGAGCATCTGTGCCTAAGGGCTGGGGGGGGGAGGATGTTGGGGGAGAAGAGAAGAGGAAAGGAAGGCAATCTGGAACCCATAAGCTCTCTTGATGTTTGCATTATCGTGGAGGACTGCATTGGTCTGTGCACGGCCCCTCCCCTGGAACGCCTTACCCTATCCGTAAAGGGCATTAACAACATTTTCATAACGTCCCTCCTCTCTTTAGCCCTTTAGGAAGGGTGGAGGGAAAGGAGGGTGAATAAGCAGATCCTTGAAGGTTGGAGCAACTCAGAAAGCCTCTGCCGCTCTGGAAGCCAGGGGGCTTTTTTTGGGAAGGGTCCCACCCTTAAGGTTGCCCCATTTGAACCTCAGGTCGCCTTGGCTTGGATGCACCACGGCCTGTTAGATCCAGGTCCTTGCCGCGTCTACTGAGAGGGAAGGGAAGGAGATTCGCAAAGGATGAAAGAGGAAAGCATGTGCCCAGATTCACCGGAGGGGAGCCTGGTGACCAGTGAGGAGGAGAGCGAGAGGGTCCCCAAAAAGGGCCTGCGCAAGAGGACCCAACTAGGCAAACCCCTGGCCTCGGCTCCCCTGCAGGAGTGCAGTGCCCCCTCGCCCCAGGGGAAGCGCAGCAAGCGCAGCCCTGTGCCACAGACCTTCGAGGACATGCACACGCAGCGGGTGATTGCCAACGTGCGGGAGCGCCAGCGCACCCAGTCGCTGAACGATGCCTTCGCTGAACTGCGCAAAATCATCCCCACTCTGCCTTCCGACAAGCTCAGCAAGATTCAGACACTGAAGCTGGCAGCGCGATACATCGACTTCCTCTACCAGGTTCTGCAGAGTGATGAGCTCGACCACAAGATCTCCAGCTGCAACTACCTGGCCCACGAGAGGCTCAGCTACGCCTTCTCCGTCTGGAGGATGGAAGGGGCCTGGTCCATGTCAGCATCCCACTGAGACCCACCGGGAAGGTATGTCCTGTTCCATGCTCTTCTCTTACCTTGCACTTCTTCTCTAGGCTGAGTTCCAAGACCAGGGCATGGTTAGCTGCAGACTGCTCTTTAACTGTAAAAAGTTATAGTGCACATACAAAAAAAGCACAGCTTTGGGCATGTGCAAAATATCTTTCCAATCGCAAGTGAACAACCATAACCAGCTTCCAGATATCTGCAACTAGGCATAAGGGCTTTCTGGTCAGAAGGCTGAAAAAGCATGGTACCCTGACAGTCTTTAGATTTGAGCAGTTTTAGACTACACAGAGACAATGTGGAAGTTGAAAGTGGCACATTCCTGCAGCCGATGGACACATGCCTTTCTTTCATCCCACAGTCACTTCTGGTCCCCAGACCTGCTTGCCAGGAGAAGATAGCGGGTAAGGAATAACCACACTACAGGCAAATGACTCCTCTCTCTGAGACGCCAGCATAAAACAATGTACACACTGTCATTTGTCCCCTGTAAAAAAATATATATATCCCATGGCATTTCATAAAGTCATTGAGCAGGGATACAAGAACTGCATCCTAAGCACACTTCTTCGGAAGCAAGCCCCTCTGCATTTGGTAGGACTCACATTCGAAAGATGGTGCTTATGACTGTGCAGCACTTTGCATGGGACTGGGGGGAAAGGTAAACCTGGGTCAGCAACTTGGGTTGTTGTTTTGTTAGAAATAGGCCTGGGTTTGGTTTTTTTGTCCCTCCTAAATTGAGCAGTTCCTGGATTTCAGTAGCAAAATCCACCACAAACTGCTGGATACGCCAAGCAGGTGCTGGATCTCAGCTGAAACCGACGTGCTTGAGCTGGGCATTTTTATGTGTTTGATTAAGCTCAACCTATATGTTCATGTGTATTCAAATTTCATGAACCATTTATTTCTATAAATGGTATTTATGTAAGCAGAAATGCCACAAATATGTATCATTTTCTGTGCCTGATGCCGTGCCAGCCCAAGAGGGTCTCTCTCCCCCCCCCCCCTCTTGGTGCCTAAGCAGAGCCCACTGAGACCAACATTTTTGTAAAGTCTCACTTCACCATTCAGATACCGATTCCCGCCAATGGCTTGTCCACAAATCCAGATAAATTCAGAGATGGTCAGGCCCAGAAGATGCCTTTATCCTTTCAAATGAAGAGCTGGATTATAGAGAATTAAGTACAAATTGCTTTCTGTTTTGGCTGTAGGTTGTAATCCAACGTCAGTCATATTTAGAGTAGAGCCACTGAAATGAATTGAGAGGACTAAATTGTGCCTTCTGATTTCAGTGAGTCAGTTTGGAGTATGACTAATGTTGTATACAATGTTTTATCTTTATTTTGTGTTTGGAAGGCAGACCCATTCCATATCGCCTTTATAAGCAGGCCAACAAATTTTTCACCAGGGACACATTGCATTCATCCATTTCTAATAGAAATATAAAACCTACACTCACTGAAACGTACATTCAACCCCCCACAATTCTCCTCCATATTAAACACATTCATAATGAGACAAATAGGCATGCCAGAGCCCCAAACACACTTCATAACATGACTTGCGAAGGCATCCTGATTTTTGTATATTATGCACAAACCATCTGTCACCCTTTTCATGTTCCTGCAAGAGAAGTCAGCTCTGCTGTTCCCATTTCACAGACTTGGAAATGGAGGTTGATAAAAAGAGCCAATTGCCTGGATGCCTGTTCATGTGCCCGCCCTGGATAACAATGGCACCTGATCATTATTTCTATGTGTGAAAATGATGTATACTTCCCTCCGAATAAAACCACACTTTTGGCATTATATAAATGTAAACAGCTAGCATCTCCTACCTCCATATGTGTAATCACAAACATGGATTAAAACTGCACCACTGCAGATATGGTTTTAAATTGGGATGCCACAAATAGATAAGATAAACTTTATTTGCATTAGCCAACGGCCATAGCAACATAAAACAAGCAATATACAAATAAAATATATACAAATAAAAAAGACAGCAATGGGTAAAAAGGGCAATCAAATGGCCAAGATTATCGTTCAGACAGTGGCCCTTAATCTCACTGCACCCTCGATAAACCTAGCAACCTTTGCTGTTGTCTGATCATTTTTTATGCCACAAATATTTATGCGCTCCTTGCTGCCTCAAGTAGACCTTAAATGCTACCCCACTTCCCTCTGCAGTTAGGGTCAACATTTTTAAAAAGTCTCACTGAACCATTTGGACATAAATTCCTGCCTTCATCTATTCTTTTCTTGCAGAGGGCAATGATTTCCTTTGGACATGGTTTAAAAAATCATGGCAGGCTTGGGTAAATGCTGCTTTTGAAAAGCACCCAAAATTCAGCCGTCTGAAGCAGCTTGCACCACTTTGCTGCGTGGTATGATTGGCTCAGTTTTGGTGCATTAAACTGTGCATTTCCTGCTGTAAATTCATAGCCTGACTAGTCAGGGAGCCAGTTTGCGATTATTACCATCAGGTCCACACACAGCCACCCCAAATTTTTTTCAGGGTGTTGCGCAAACAAGCTAAACGCACATCGGATGTACAGCAATGATTCAAATCAGAGAGAGAAAGGCTTCTATGCTCTTGAACAGGAAACATGATGCACAGATATGCCTACCTCAGTTAATAGATGCACATGAAATGCATTGCAGAACAAAGATTCGGATCTGCATTGCAAAACAGAATAATTGTAAAACAGCATGTGGGGAGGCAGAAATACTGAGGCAGGTTTTAGACACCCCTAGTTGGCTACATTGCTTGACACCCTGACAAGTCTGCTGTGACTTTAAGGGTTTCCAGGAAGGAAGAATTTCACTAGCTGTGATCCCTTCCCTGCCCCCCACAACCTGGATTTCTCTCATTTAGAAACTGAAGAATCTGGTCCTGGATGCCACTAAGGTTGCCCAGGGAGTTAAAGAATGTTATAAGGTTACTTATTCATATCAAACAGGTATTCGATGCCAAGACCAAAAAAAAAAAAAAAAAAGGAAACTTGCACTAACGTACCCCAAAATTCTGCAACAAGGAAAGCATAATTCTGTGACCCATATAAGATATGGGCAAAATTTCACAACCTCTCTTCTTTTGCATCATTTATCCTACATTTTATTCTTCCTTTGCATACATTTCCCCGCACCTGCTAAACATCATGAAGTGATGCAAATAACTATGTGACAGAGCAGGGAAGCCCAGTCTTCTGGTGGCCAGAACTCTTGTTCAGCAAGCATAGTCTTGCAGCCAGAAGGACTAGAAAGCTTAGGGGAAGAGATAGAACTTAGTGGTGGTGGCGCATCTGCTTTGCGTGCAGGTGGTCCCAAGGTACAAATCCTGGCATCTCCAGGTCGTGCTGGGAAATAATTCTGTCAGAAACCCTGGAGAGCCACTGGCAATCCGTGCCAAGAGTACAGAGCTTGAGCTGGATAGACCAGGCGTCTCTCTCTGCAGGAGCAGCTTCCTATGCCTTATGAAAAAAGAAAGCAAGCCAGAATTCATGTGGCCCAGTCCTTACAACTCTGCTTTCTAGTGCTTAAAGACTTGGGGCAGAGGCCCAGGGCGCAACTCTGCATAATATTTGCATATGCTGGTTTCTATGGATAGATGCCTCTGATAAATTGCAATGGCAGGTGAGGAGCAGAGGTCTCACCAGGATGAAATAGGGAAAGTGAATATATATTTCTTTTTTAAAAGGGGAGGCAGGAGACATGGGCCCTCTAGGCCACCTCCTAAATACTCCCCTGCTCAAAAGTTAAGTTCCACTGAACTTTAGGGCTACCAAAACTCCAAGTAAGCATGCAGAAGATGGAAGCTTTCAAAAATGAAGGCTGCAATCTTGCACACATTTAGATGGTTAGTTAAGTCCCATGGAATTCATTGGAACTTACTTCCAAGAGAAGCTGCACAGAATTGTGCTACAAACTCCACAGTCAATATCCCAATTTTGGAGGTCTGGGCTTTCCCACCCCAGTGAGGAGAGGTTTCTGCAGAATGCTGCTTGACATTTTATAAGACAACCCCGTCCACCTCCGATCATTCTGTTGACTTCTTCAGTATTTGGCCTGCTTTTCTGGACCAGCTGCTCCCCAAATCAGCTGACCAACACCTTTATAAAAATGGGAACATTTGATTTCAAATTGAAAACTAGCAACCAAAAATATATATAAAAATCAATACTTGTAAAAACAGGAAATGGCATCAATTCTTCAAAATAATGAGAAATGATTGAATTAAGTAGCTTGCCCTGTCCTCCTAATGGGGTCAATGGAACAAATCTGATGCATCGCCCTGCCAACACCCTGCAAAGGAATTTCAGAAACATGTAGGTGCAACCCTGGAAATGCCAAAACTTACCTCGGACAGTGGCATCACCCGCAAAAGTGTACATTCAAAAGCGCACACTCCAGGATCAGCTCTGCACATGCTGGAACAATCTTCTTGGTTAGCATGTCCCATCCATGGCTTAAGCCCCTGGGATGGGATGAAAACAAAACAGGGCAATTAATGCTGAAGAAAACGGTGATTGCTCTTTGAGATTGCTGCAGGCAGAGTATCACCCGGAAAGAGGAAAGTATATCAGACCTAGCCTGATCTCTGACCCTGTGGCTACTCTCTCCCACAGGGCAATAACCTCTCATGATGCCCCCCCCGGCTCAGCCCCCTTTTATTATACAACAGTGAATTCAGTTTTTGTTTTCTGCCATATGTTGGAAAAATATTGTCTGCTGCCGGAGGAAGGAGAGATGAAGCATGGGGGGGGGGGAGAATCTAACCAACCTGAGAGTCTTTCCCCTTGGCCCCTCAACCTTCAGGATGAGTCTGGGTAACATTAGCTCCGGGGTCATTCAGTCAGGAGGACAACACCCCTCAGCTGGGCTACAGTTAGTTGCTCTTTTCCCCCAGCGAGAACTGATGCAAGCCTGAGACTGATGGCCTATGGAGGTTTCCATTTTCTCTAGGTTGGTTCTCACTTCGTACCTTGACAGTGATCATGGGCA